AGTGTTCAAGTGTATACTTAAATTACCTGCTCAAGATGTGTTGTGATATAGTCTTGCTTTATTTTATGTAAATGATATTGCTTCAATGCTTATATGTAGTTTAATAAAAAATGAAATGAACATTAAACATTGAAACTGTTTAAAACACCTTTGTGTCAAATGAAATCGAATTGATTTGAAGTATATTTTTGATCTTCTTGTCATCTGATATGGGCGGCAGGGAACTATTTAAGTGAACACGGCTGTCATAAACAGACATATATATACATACATATGTAGCTGCGATCGCTCCGGCGATTTCCATCATGATCTGGCTGAGTAATTACGCAGTAAATGCGAAAATAACAGCGCCGTGTACACTTGGGCATCAACACTTCCACATTTTGATTTTGCTTTTAGCCAAAATGTTTGTACCCTTTCGAATGGACTATCAATTATTAGGGCTAAGCAGACAAACATTTTTGACCTTCTATAAAATTTGGTTTAGTGATTCGATGTACGTCTTTTGTTTCTCAATTTAAAGCAAATTAAAGACTTTTAATTTCTTTTACACAGAAAGAGTAACAGTCTGTTTCCTATACCCTATAAACACACGCACACATTTCAGAATTTGTTGAAAAATATTTCACGTGCGTACAAGGAAAAGATAAACAAAACCCAAAGTCGATCAAAATGGGATTTGTCTAAAAGGGGCGATACTGAACTCAAATGGAAATTATTGCTAAATTATAAGATGTCATTGCGAATATAAATCCTAGCTAAATGTTATTGATTTGCTGATTTTAAAAATGAATAAACCAAAATTGTTTGTTACATAGTTCATTTGCTGGAATTGAATTTTTTATTAAATACACTTGTGTATCCAACTTTATCATTCCACAAATTTCGGTTTAATTAAAGTTCATACAGAAGAAGAAAAAAGTTGAACAACAAGGTAGCATAAGTTTATACATAAATGTCCTGCACACTGGGTTTGTAAACTTTTTATTAAATATGCATGAGTTCCAAATATTTTTTAATTATGTCTTGTTTTTGACAACTTAATTAACTGTGAAGAAAAGTTTTCGCAACAAATTAAAAATTGCAGCAGAAATTTATTAATTAGCTGCACATTGGTATTTTCCACTTTTGTTAAATAAGCGTATATGTGTAGCCAATTATTTTATAATTTTTGATATAGTTTTTGAACAACCACATCATGTGGCTTGGTCTCACTTTTGAACTTATTATTTTTCACCAATTTCGACTTTAATTGGAGTTTCTGGCTCTTCGCTTGCCTTTTGTTATTTCTGCGTTGCTTGTTGCACAGAAAAGTTGATTAATTAGCTGCATTTCGCTCTTATCCACTTTTATCAAATATGCATGTGCACCCCAAATATTTGTTAGTTTTTTGACAAAATTCTCAACTTCCAACTGGCGTAATTTAATTTGACCTTTAACTATCATTTCGACTTTGGGTGAAGTTTTTGCAACCAATGAGAAATTCTCATAAATAATGAGTAAAAGTTAATGCATTTGCTGCACGTTGGCCATGGTCCTGATATTATTTAATATTATAATTGTTGTTTAAAGTCATCATCTTTAGCTAAATACTTGTTGCTATTGCAGTTTGTTATTAAGTTGAATAGGGCGAAATTAATTTTAATGTGCAGGACATGGTAGTTTTTAACAATTGAATTAGGAATTCAACGAAATATGAATTCATTTTTTAAAACTCTAACGTAAGTTTTTTTAAATCTGTTTCCCAAGGGGTTTTTTCCTTGTTAATCGCAAGCGATTAATAGAAATGTTGTATTGCTCTGTAATATACATATGTTATGTTATATTGCTGTCATATTTTCCAAGTCCTTCTATATCATTCGACAACTGGACTTGAAGTTTATGCAGCAAATGAAAAACTGCCAAGAACAATAAACAAATATTCGTTTCGTTTGTCTGGATACACCTGTGGACCTCTTAATAACTGATTGAACAAATAAATAAAGGCTTAATGAGCTGGAAGCTTTGCATGGAAAATATTATACATAAGTACAGCGGCAACCATAAGAACAGGCAGCTGTAAGTTGAAACTAACTACCAATTTGATAATGACATATGCTGCCAAAAAAAACTAGTTTTGTAACTAGCCGCCCAAGTAGGCTGATCTTATCTGCGACCCCAAATTCCTATATTTATTACATTCCCAAGTATGTGCATATGTCTTAGCCAACTTGGCAAAAGGCTTGGGGCACTCACTCATTTTTTTTAAACCTGGCACACACAGCCATGCGATGCAAATCAAGTTTGAAGACGCATATTTAGTCGGATTAAGCAGTGAAGCTTAAAATACTAAACACTGAATTGTGAAGATGCCTACGGCCATGGTTCGCAGTGGTTGGAGATTATCTTTTGCATTGATATTGATTACCATCCCGAGCGGTGCAGTGAAAGTCGCACAGCGCAGTTGATGCGATTACAGCTGGCTGTTGCTGCTGCTGTTGCTGTTGCTGCTGTTGCTGCTGCTGTTGCTGCTGCTGCTGCTGTTCTTGCTGCTCTTGAGTTGCCATAAGCAGGGGGCTTTGTTAAAGGATTACTTTAAGATGCCCCATTGTTTACGTTCTTTTGAGGATTTAATCTTCCCACACATTACTTTGGTCAAGGCCAACGCTGGAACCCTGGCGCAACTGCCTACTACGCCCACCTTGCAAGTTATTTCAAGTGCACCACTGCACCACTGCAGCAGGTCTGTTCCGGAAAGCTTGTCTAATACCTGATTAAATACAAATCCCAACATTTGCATCTTAAACTGGCCTTGATTAGCAAAGCTATGCCCGTTAATCACCGAATAAGAGCCACCTGTGTTGCCCACTATAAAGGACACGAAAAGACAATCAAGTGTTCAAGTGTATACTTAAATTACCTGCTCAAGATGTGTTGTGATATAGTCTTGCTTTATTTTATGTAAATGATATTGCTTCAATGCTTATATGTAGTTTAATAAAAAATGAAATGAACATTAAACATTGAAACTGTTTAAAACACCTTTGTGTCAAATGAAATCGAATTGATTTGAAGTATATTTTTGATCTTCTTGTCATCTGATATGGGCGGCAGGGAACTATTTAAGTGAACACGGCTGTCATAAACAGACATATATATACATACATATGTAGCTGCGATCGCTCCGGCGATTTCCATCATGATCTGGCTGAGTAATTACGCAGTAAATGCGAAAATAACAGCGCCGTGTACACTTGGGCATCAACACTTCCACATTTTGATTTTGCTTTTAGCCAAAATGTTTGTACCCTTTCGAATGGACTATCAATTATTAGGGCTAAGCAGACAAACATTTTTGACCTTCTATAAAATTTGGTTTAGTGATTCGATGTACGTCTTTTGTTTCTCAATTTAAAGCAAATTAAAGACTTTTAATTTCTTTTACACAGAAAGAGTAACAGTCTGTTTCCTATACCCTATAAACACACGCACACATTTCAGAATTTGTTGAAAAATATTTCACGTGCGTACAAGGAAAAGATAAACAAAACCCAAAGTCGATCAAAATGGGATTTGTCTAAAAGGGGCGATACTGAACTCAAATGGAAATTATTGCTAAATTATAAGATGTCATTGCGAATATAAATCCTAGCTAAATGTTATTGATTTGCTGATTTTAAAAATGAATAAACCAAAATTGTTTTTTAAAGAGGACTCCATATGAAGTCATAACAATGGGATATACATATGTATGTATTTAGATTTTTTTAAATTATTATATTTAAATGAATATATTGGAATGTATCCTTCGAACTGTTTCTTATATATAAACCTATTCCTTTAATTCGAAACAATAAAAATTGTTGACTATATAAACGGGACTGGGCTGTTTGTATTTAAGCTTATTTCTTATATTTAGGGGATCCTTTAAATGTGTTCTTGTGTCTTCTTCACGAAGCATTTTTAAATTATTTTAGACTAAGGTGGAATAAATGCAGTCATTAATCAGATTAATTCGCTGTAGACCTAATCAGTAAGTAAGACAGCTGTTTAAAATTGATTAGGAGGTTTCTTTAAAGATTCAGTTAAGAAAAAGAAAATCTTGAAAAAGTTTTGAGTTTCCTGTCTTTTATCGGTTATTTAACACTGGTTAAAACCACGGTCTTGTAAACAACTTAAGCAGGGCTTTTGATCACATTAAAGAGGCTCCACTGTGGATCGAGTCAACAAACAAGCCGCCGCTCATTTTTACAGACTTTTTGGCCAACTAGACCACTGTCGAGGGGAAATACAAGCTAATAAACTAAAACGGTACAGTATCAGAGAAAGTGCGCCTAGGCGGACTATGTGTGTGCGGGTGCATGTGTGTGTGTGTGGGTGGGCGAAGAGAGAGCTTTGATAGGCGCAAAGATATCAAACACACACACACACACTCCGGTTTTCCTATGGAGGGTATGTAATTGATGATGATTTTCCGAGGATGTCTGTGTGAAACAACAATATCAACAACCAACTTGGACAACAACAACAATTACAGAAAACTTGGGCACAAAACAGTTATTTCACTTTTGCAGTTACAGTCGGCCTAAAATTTAAGTCAACTTTTTAGACTATCGCACACCTTTCGGTGTCGAAATTCGTTTGCAATAATATACAATAAACAAAATCCACCATGTACACACATTTCCGTATTTTTATACAACTGTGTGTATGTACATATTCAGTGGGCAATTAAATATTTACGTCCATCGAGCAGCTGGTTCGCAACTTCTCCCGGAACTCTCACTCTCTTCTCCACACACCATATTGTGTGTTAGTGTGCACACTCACTTACACACACACACTGAATCACACACACAGTAGCGTCTGGGTCAAGTGAAAATGTATTATTTGGCACTTTTTCTCGTTTCAACGTTTCTTTTCTTTCTTTATATTTTCGACATTGTCACTGTCAATGTTAGCATAACTAACGGTGTTCGCACTTTTTGCACACAAACAAATACATTTTTTTTTTTTGCTACCTTATTGCGCTGCTTTTCCTTCGTTTTCGCTTTTCCTTTTCGTTTCTATGTGGCCTTCTCCTTCGTGGACTCTCGCGATTTTCTAACACAAAAAAAAAAAAAGTTTCTGCGTATTCCCTTTCGTTGCACAGCACTCTCACCGAAAATTATGGAAATAATAGGACAAAATCTCACAGAAAAAAAAATTGCATCTTATTATTATGCTTGTCGTATTAGAAATGCAGCACCAATCTCAATCGATTCGAAATTGGAATTGTGTGCGATTGCGAAAATGAAGAGTTCTAGGTAGTATTTCTAGCTGGGGGACTTTCTTGTTATTCCGCCTCGCCAGTTATGTTTCCATGTTTGCTCGATGAGATGTGTGTGCTCCCTGAACCCAAAAAACACCGTCAGCGCGAGCAAACGACGCACGCACGACAAGGACGTCCGCCGCACACGATAGTTTGAGCCAGTGTCCGCGTGTAGGAAAATGGAAAATGGATTTTCCTGCGCCACCAGCAGTTCTCCGATACGAGAGCCAACGAGCGAGAGCAAAGCTAAAGTAAAAACGTGAGAGAATGGCGCCGCCAGAGAGTGTGGGAGAGCGAGCGAGAGCGTCAAGTTTTCCCTATTCGCGCAATTGGGTGGAAAAGCTGCGGTCAGCCCTTTGGCAACGCTGTCGGGAAATTCATTGCCCGCAACCCGCTGGAAAACGAGGGAGCCCGAAACTTTAGCACTGGAACGGGGAGAATCGGCAAGAAAACACAGCTCCTTGTGACTATCGCTTCACCGACCATCTCTATGGCAATTATACTACTCGTTATTGCCAATCTCTAAACTTGACCGTTGGTAAGCTCAAAAATGTTATGTCAACAAAATTATAAAACCTAACTCCCTTAAAGGATTTGCTCTGCAACATTGAATTTATTTTAAGTTCACAAATAACACACCCTTGGTCTTGGACTTATATCACAATTTTCATAAAAATAAGTAGTTTTTTAAAAACTTTTTTGACATTTTTGTTGATGGCGAACAATGCAACTTTAAATTGCAGGGTAAAAGAAAAATAAAAATTAGAAAAACTATTTTGACTGTGAGCTTTGAATTAATATTTAACGAGTTAGTACTCGTAACATTACTATCAACGATTAGTTACAGACTTTTACCAAACCATGTCCGTTAGTAATTTAAATAGTGGTAACGGCGAAAACAATAAATAGTTTGGTTTTTGATTTTTTGGTGAACCATTTGCTTACCGGGGAAACCATATTTGTAACAACTCGGTTTTTTTTACATCCGTTACTTACATACGTACATTTTATTATCGGTATCTAATAAAAAGAGTTAATTTGTGATATGTTTTAAAAAGACAACAAGAAATGTATTGAATTAGTACAATAATATAATTTACACATAATATTTGTACACATATTTTGTTAATTTAATATGCTTTCAAATCGAATGAAAAAATACGCTGCTGTCGTTACTTAAAATCCGCCCTTTACCCATAAACACTATATGAGGATACGTCACGCGGTTAATAGTCTAATGTTAAATTGAATACGTGTCTATATGCCAAAATACACTAATAGTTTACAATAGTGTACCGTATAATCTTCGGTGGACCGAAATTTAGGTATTATGCAATTTGTCAATATTCCGTTCGCCCAATACAAAACAATTATACACTTTGGCTCTACCAAAGGACTAAATTCTACCTACCCGTCAGACTACAAGTGTACAACTAACCTACCTCACAAGTGGACCACAAAACGAAGAGTGTCGAACAAAAAAAAAAAGAAGTGGTTTCGAAAAGTCATTCTAAACTACTCATTTGTGTATTTACATAACGAACCTGACAATTGCTTGTTGTGACACCGATCCTTGTCCTAAAAACCTATTTGATCTTTTGCTGTTAAAATTTTGGTTACCGGAAATTGAAAATATTCAAGTCGTTTTACAACACTTCGAAAAAAGGGTTTCCTACACAAATAATTAGAGAGAGAGAGATAGAGAGAGAAATGTAAATGTAAATGTAAGTCGTACGTCAAATTCCTATCTATCTACTAGTGAACTAAGTAAAACTCATTAAAATCAGGTCATGTTTGCCTTTTTCCTATTTGGCTTGATATTGTGGTTAGTCTTTCTGCTCCGCTGATAATCCATCGAAACAGATACGAGAGTCAGAGTCCCGGTCATTCCTGTAACTGATTTTGACAATCTCCTCGCCCCGTTGTAAAGGTCTTATGGCATATTCGCGCGATATCCTCGTTCCATATACTACTCCATATGCTCCTCCTTCCTTACTGACTATTTTATCCGTCTGGATGCGAAGTCTTCTAAAATTATCACAAGAAGTTGGCATTCGTGTGTTCAATGGCGCTTTGTCGGCGTCACATGTAGGAGGGCGAGGACTTGCGGGATCGCGAGCGCGGCTTCGAAGGACTCTTCAAACTGTGACGCGAGCTGCTCCGCGGCTTGAATCCGCGATCGTTCCACGGCTCGGAGACGCGTCCAAACCAGTGAATCAAATCCATAACCTCCAGCTGAAAGCGTAACAATAAAAAATATTAAAAGGAAGAAATAAATAATAAAATAAAGTTAATTATTAATGATCCTGTAGAGGTTCAGATATCCTTACTTGAAGTGTCTGAGGCAATTCCTTGAATATTTCACACTTGGTCAGTTGCGCGTGTTGCGAGAGAAAAGAAAGGCATTTCGACTTCAAAGCGGTGGCCATATAGCGATCCGCAATTCCCAGAAGGCATACAACGGAGTCCTCGTCAATTAAAGAGTATAGGGTATTTTCGCACAATTCCTGGTGATTTTTTTTTTGCATGAAAGAGTAGAAAAATAATAAGGAAACAGCTTGATTTAGCTTGAGCAGTTTTAAAAGGTATTATATTATCGTTTTGACTTGTTTTTATGGGGTTCAATCATCAAATCTTCATTATCACTCATAATGTTGAGTAAGTTAGCTTGGAGATTGCTTACCCCTATTCAATCTCTTTACAATGATCTGATAATCGTACCACCTAACTGTTTCATCCTTATCTGTATGCTTGACTTATCTGTAAAGCTTCTTTTGAATGTCCTACCTTGAGATCATCGATGGAGTAGCGATCTGCCAGAAGCATTAGCTCGCACACCTGTTCGGCGCCGACTGTCCTATCGATGGGAGCACCGTAGAGATAAAGCAGCAGGCGGCGGAATATTACGGGTGAGGTGTCTGTGATGATGACCTTCCGGTTGATCGACTCCTGCATCCCGGACATCAAAGCCTTTTTGAACCACTCGCAGCGAGCGGCGACGATCACCCGATGAGCCTTGAAGCTATGAACCTGAAGGGCTTTCGTCGCCGCCTCTGCGGAGGCATTTTCCGATTTCCCATTAGCACTCGAAGCACTCGAAGCTGGGGCATAGGTGTGAACCTCGAACTCCATGTCGGCCAGTTGGGTTGAGTGCAGCAGGCGCAGGGCGTTCTTCGACAGATTGCTACTGGCGGCAATCGGTGGCTCGCAGAGATGTCGAATGAGGTTTAGCTATGGGTTACATAACAACAAGTTGTTAGTCAAAGCAATTGGATTATTATTTGACTTAACACGACGCTATATTACCTTGATGCTATTGTAGTCGTAATACTGTTTACGATCCAAATAGATCGCCTCCTTGTCGCCCAGCCCTTGATTTAGGTTGTTCTCATGATCGGCCATTTTCAAGTTGCTCGTCACTCGACTCGACCCATCTAGTAATCCCAGTTCAATTACGGACTGTGTGAACTCTTGCTTTCGCACCAGCAAACAGATTTGTGTAATGGCATCGCCCAGGGCATCCTTGTGATCCAGTAACTTGGCAATAACGCCATTCTGCAGGGTACAAAATCAGGATAAATGATAAAGATGCAACCAGGGTCTGGGTTACTCACTATCTGACTGGTGGCCAGCTTGAAGCAGAACTTGAACTCCTTCCAACCCAGCTTGTCGTCCAGTCGATCCGATAAGTTCTCCACAATGAAGATGTAAGCGGGAATGTCCATGATTAGTTGCTCAAGATTCTGATTGATTGTACTACTTTTGCTCAGAAAATCCATTTCGCAGAATGTACTCCTGTTGGAAGAATAGAAGAGGTTATAATAACTGATCAGTGATCAGTGATCACCCAACACCGCATTCGCACTCACTTTTTATCCTTGATTATTTCCAGTGCTGCCACAATTCGGCCGTAAATGTCTCGCATTTTCCGGACCTCGTACATATAGAGCACGAACTTAAGGTCATTCTCCGCCGAACTAAGGCGCTGTTTATCCGTGAGATTGTCGTAGAGCGTTAGGCCCACGGGAGCACCGCGACGAGGACGTGGCGATGATTCGCCGCCAGCATCCGCGATCTGCAGTTGCATGACAATAGCGTCCTCAGCCTGCTGTTGTTGCAGTGGAAGATCCAAGTGGGAGCATTTAAGGTCCTTAAAAAATATCGAAAATATCAAATACATAGTTTTATGCTATGAAGAAAAAACCTCCAAAACTGCAATGCCAACTCACCTTACACATGATTTCCAATGAGTTTTTGATTTCCTCTATCACAGCGGTCAATACAAATAAGGTTGATTCGATCTGTTGGATAATGCCAATTAGTTTTAATAGCTTCATCACTTTCAACCGAGTGATAACCTACTTCAGGTACTAGATAGTTCACCAAGTCGGCTTTCTCATCGACACTCAGGCCCACAAAGACCCCAAGTACGTTGCGAAGCAGCTGCTGAACTTGTGACATAAAAATTGGGATGCGGGTTCGAATGTACTTGACAATCTCATTCTTTTGATATCGCGTCATGTGTGTGGCGTCCGTAATAAAAATGTTACAGAACTGGAGCACCTTGGCGCAGCCTTCCCAAAATAATTCAGTAATAATTCAGTGTAACTTGTTAACTAAAATTAGAAATTGGTTACTCACCTATGGCACATTCCCGCAGGGCATCCTGAAATGTGGCATAGAGCTGCGCAGGATCGCGGGTTATGTTTCCGGGGTTTAAGCACTGTATGACCCGATTTAGTATTCCATGCAGATCCATAGTTACGTTGACCACGACTGAAATTATGCCCAGGCATTAAGAAAATTATTTTAATATGAAATGTTTTACTATAAAACCCCGAAAATACTTCTCAGTTTGTTAATGGTTCGTGTATACTGGAAAACTCATTATCAATGGAATGTTATTTGAATACCTTAAACTTTAGATAACTTGCACAACTTGACCTTTCTTAATTGGATAGGTTTATATTGAAGGTACTCTCATTCGGAATGGAATAACTATAGGAGTGCTCCAACTAACTTTTTCCTAGTATAGTTTTTACGCTTACATTTCTTGAGTCTTATTAGTCGCAGGTACTTGCGAGTCGGCTCCACCAGCTTGGTGAGCGAAGGCTGCGATTCGGCGAAGCTGATGAGCTTCTCGCACACATCCTCGTCGAGATCGGGGAGCAGGGACTCCGTGTACAGCCAGTGGAGGATGGGGCCCAGCAGGAAGGTGGGCAGGTTGCACAGGACACCGACGGGCGTCAGCGGGGACGAGGGCGGGGTGTCCATGGAGCTGGGGAAGGGCGAGGGGCTGCGGGCACGGTACGGGGACAACGGCGGTCGCCGGATGCTGCAGATGGCCAATCCGGTGGCCGGCGGCAATGGCGTGGGCGTGGGCTGCAGTATCAGATCCTGGCAGAAGTTGAAGATGTTCTTGCAGTGCGACTGCGACGTCTCCAGATGCGAGTCCGAGTGCGAGGTGGGCGGCAGTCGGTACATCCCACCGCCGCATTCCAAGCTCAGCAAGCCGGCGGTTCTGCCCACCGATCCTGCATCCGAATCGCCGTCATTGCCGTTGCTCAGGCAATTGAAGCTGCTGCTGAATTGATGCACTCGCTGGGCGCCCAAACCCAAACCGGAGGATGGCATCGACTGGAAGTCACAGGGCGGCTGGAGGTAAATGGGCGAGAGATTCAGACGCGGCAGCGACTTGTCGTGTCCCTCATCGCTGGCCGGAGCCACGGATATCCTGATGGGGTTCGGCGTATTCGGACCACTGTGACATGTCCTGGCTGATCCTTGACGGGCAGCAGCCGAAGCGGGAGCACTATTCACGCACATGCTGCAATCGAAGCCATTGAGCCGCAGGATGGAGGCATGCAGAGCGTACTCCATGCCACTGGAGCTCTTGACCATCACGTCACTGAAGTAGGACTCCTGCAGCGCCTCCGCGAAGCTCAGCTGCTTCTCCTGGCCGGCAGCCTGGCCATCCTGCAATCGCTTGCACTCGACCGCGTACCAATTCTCGCAACTCAACACCAGCGTATCCGTGGGCGTCAGGGTGTTCGTCTGTCAGGAGAGGATTTCAGATTTATATAAGGGGCATTGCAATTTCCTGGAGAAGATCTTGGCCTGTACTCACGCTGAACTCAATGCTGTGACCGGCAAAGGCTCCGAACACAAGACGCGGATTGATCTCGTGCACATCGAAGGTTTCGCAACTGAAGAGCACACTGGCCGATTCGCAGAAGGTGCCGCAGTCCTTGCTTTCCGGCAGAGGACTGACCAGGTCATTGTACCAGGTGATATCGCTAGTGTCGTCCAACCGAAACTTAATGCTAATCGAGGAAGTGGAGTGTGGACTTTAGGAACATGCTTCCTCTTAAAAGGATTGCAACACTCACCCCTCCAAGCCGGACAGTTCCCGCTTTCCCTCGAAGGTGCAACAGACAATCTGAAGGGTATATATTATAATATATATGTATTTCCGATTATATAGCCAAGTAACTCACCTCCCAAGTGCCCAGGAATGTGTGCACCAGTGCCATGGCGGATTTTCCTGACCAGCTAGTTGCCTAATCTTGCACAGAGTCCATGTATCCTGACCATGTGTACGTGTGTGTTTCTGCCAGTGTATGTGTGTGGGCTCCAGTGGGTGTTGTGCGTGTGTTTGTGTGTGGGCTTCCTGTGCTTTCTGTGTGGGTTGCAGTTGTTGTCCAAGTCCTGCGAGTCACTGGGACAGCGGTGGACCGCTCAAGTGACCAATTTCCATGCTCCGCCCGATGCTCCAAGGAGTCGCGTCCACTTTTTCCGCGTTTGCCTTTTTAGAAAGGACCTCTTCTGGATACGGTTATCGATGTGCGAGTGTGCATGTGTGTATGTATTTGTTGTTGCCAATAACTGTAACTGCGCTGCCGCTGTTGCTGCCTCCTCTGCACGGATTCCAGCGAGTCCTTTCGCTCTCGTTCGCTCGCCTGCTCCCTCGCTCACCTGCAGCGGCGAATCTCTCTCGCTCCTCCCGGCTGTTCTCACATCCTGACGTCCGCAAAACCGCACGAGCTTTGCAGCCAGCTGACAAAGCTTGGCGACACCAAAGCTCTGGGGAGTAGCGGTAAATGTGCGTGGGTGGCACGGTTTACATATGTACCGTTCTAGCCATAGCCACCCACGTCCGATGTTCGTGCTCGAGCTTTTCATTTACTCTGCCGTGGAATGTTTGGGCGAGCACCACGCACGCACCTCATGACGTTCGACAGGAAACGCATTTACCGCTATCTATTGACGTAACGGATTTTCACACAACATTTTCATACGGGGAATCTTTCGTTTCATAGAGACTAATATGACTTGGAAATGGAAATAAGGAACAAATGGCTGCTAGCAGGTTACTGTTTTATTTTGATTTGTGGGTTGGGTTATCATATATCAAATTTAATACCACATCTTATTTAAAAGTACAACAACAACATTTAATTTTGGCGTTTTGGATTCCATCAATCGTTTTTTAAAATTACTCGTAGAGTTCGAAACGAATTAAAATTAGTGGACACGCTTCAAACGGTATTTAACATATTAATTGCATTTCAAATAATTTAATTTGTATCACTGTAAGTTTTTAGATTTAATATTATCATCGAATAAGGCATAATTTATTGAATCACTTTTTTTTACAATTACCAAAACATTTGTTCTAAAATTTAAGAATAAATACTTTCAAAATAAAGACATTAATAAAACATCTTTTCACAAATTGCAATTTAAATGGAAGGTTGCGGGTTTAGTGATACCAAAAACAAGTGGAATGGATAGTAAATATGGCTGAACACTTTGTTCTTCTGGTTTTGTTTAAGTAGCTTTTTCGATTCGGTTGCTAGAAGTCCAGGAATGCGTTCATGGCACATCGACTGGTTACCTGATCGTATTGTCTATCCTCATAGATCCTTATTCTATCCTTGGCAATGATTTCTCGTGGTGAGAGCTGGAAGGAAGGAAGTGAAACGAAATTGCAAGGATACCCAGCTAAGAAATAGAAACTCACGCTAAGGAGTTGCTTGGAGGTCAGATTGTAGCCTTTGTACAGGGCGATTCTTTGAAGGGCCATCACACTTCGGATTCGTTGGCGCGGCTCAATGGTGAGCAGCTTGCGGAGCACATCCTTGCCCTCGTGGCAGAGGTCCTGCACCTCCTCCGGCAGAAAGTCCTCGCTGTCGGCGTCACTGTCCTGCAGACAGCCGTTGATTTGAGCAATGGAGGGGGCATTGGACAGCCCGTCCTCCGGTTCCAAACTTTCCTTACGGCGTCGCAAAAGATGACGTTTTATGTTTGGCGACTGCAACAAGTTTTTATATTTAATACATATATATCTTTAGAGATTCCTCAGCAAATAATAAACAGAAAAACCTTCTACCAATGGTTACACTTGAAATGGACTTCAGCAAGCCAGTATACTAAATGTTCTAATAAGATTAATAATCAAAAGATCAGAAAACCAGAAAAACCTTCTTTCAAAGTATACTTTTGTGCGTATCCCAAAGTAGCGAAGTCGCAAACCTTTTTGCTAACCGGCATCTTGCGAATGTGTTCTAAAATATTTACAAATCAAATAGAACCCAGAATCGTAAACATCTAAAATACCTATCTTCTATTACTGAACACCTGTATCTTCAAGGTTTGCGGGCATTATGTGACAGCCACCGAGCCGATGAGGCATCTCTGTTTGTTTATTCCGCTTGTCAGCTATTCCAAAAAATAATAATTAGCGTCCGGTGACAACACGATCAGCCAAACAATGCTAATGGCGCCCTGAATCATATCTAAATAACCAAACAATTTGGAGCAGACGCATGAGCACGCAAATACGCAAATCACAAACGTCGGCTCATTGACAGAGCCAACCACATAGGCCAGAATAAACAGAAACGGGAAACGAGACTTTGGATACCCTTGCCGGTTTAGCTATCCGTGGACTTTGATACTGCTTGTGCAACATTTTGCAGAATTGCATCACTCGCTTTTCAAAATGAGGGGAGGCAACAAATATCCATTTAACAGTGTCTAACGACAGTAATTACAAACAAAAACATGATGTGCATGAGGTAAACATGATACATAATCATCATTTACAAAGGGTTGCCTTTTAGTTCTTGGATAAATTTTCTATTAATGTAATATGTGCACTGTAAACCTGACAAATAAATATTTGCTTTAATGTTTCAAAATTGTTTCAACATTTAAATTATATTTAATGAGGGAAATAGTCGAAATTGGCTTTCGAAAATGAAAATTTGGGTCACCTTAAGTAGTGCAAAGAGGTTCAAGTTTGTGGTCACCAAGAACACAACAAACTTAAATAAAATTTCCATTTCTTAATTAGAATTTCCATTTAAAACAGGGTTTTGAAAAATTCCACCTTTCTAGAAAGCTCCAAACAAAAATTGGGGTCACCAATTAATTTCTTAAACTCATTATAACTCCGCTACGAAATGCCAAACCTATTGCAGTTTAATCATTACATAAGTCTGCAAATGTTACCATATTATAAAGGCAAGTTAATCATAAAGAAAAGTGATTTAATCAGGAAGCGCATAACAGTAAACTTTTCCATTTTCCATTTAGTACCCCATTAGAATTTCAGAATTGTGTATTTCGAATGCTCTATTTCAATCAATGGCTGCAATGAGTCTGCAAAAGAAGCTGCAATTAGGGTGATTACGAAAAGATATACATATATGGCGGTGGAAATCTGGACACTCAACTTGGATTATAATAATGCCCATTTCTAAGATCGGCTCTGTGCTCAACTAGCCCGTCAAATCTCAGCTCGGCTCCACGAACGCTAATGCATGCAAATTGGATTCAATTAGCGACCGACTACTTTTCAAAATAGAAATAGACAATTTTCGTTGAGTTGCTGATGCTGCTGGATACTGGATGGTGGATGCTGGATACTGGATGCTAATGCTGGACTTATTGTCGTTTGTCGCCATGGAGAGTGCTGTAATACTCGCACTCTCACTTGCCGAGTACATTCTAAATCTGCGGATCCATTTGCGGGAAAACTGGGGGAAGTACGGGGATACATATGGTGAATCGACGGGCAAATACTTATCAAGCAACTCAACGAGGGTAGGGGGTAACAGGTTGAGAAATCGCCAGAAGAATGTGTCTGTCATGGAAATCTCTAGAATACCATATAGTTTTTTTTGGGGGGTTTCAAAAGATTTCCTTTGTTGGAAACACAGTATATATCACTTCGATCAGTCGATCATATAGGTTCGTAGAAACCCACAGCAACTCCCTGCTGAATAGAATAGCGAAAATCATGCAAATCTAATTTGACAAACGCAATTGTCATGTAAAAGCCACTTACTGACACTGACTAGCTGCTAATTACAGCTGCTGCACTTGAATACTCGTACATGTGCGATGGCGATGGGGATGATGGATGGATGGATGATGGGTGAGGATGGGGTTGGGATTTGGGATGATGCCAGTGCGATTCCGAGTCCGAGCAATGCACGCACTTGAACTTAACTCGGATCTGGAAGTGCGGGTGTTCCCCTCGAACATGACCCAAAAACTAAAAGGCGGAACACACACAGCTGGCATTTGGTGATCCGAGAGTGAAACTTACACGTTTCACGACGGAAAAATGCAACAGGTGGCATTTGGAAAATGTCATTCCAGATTCAAGGTAGCCGTTTAATATCATATGTATATATGAGGCGCAAAAGTTCATCGCTGCCCCGGAGAAACCAGAGTCGGTTAGGATGCAGTGAACGCTGGCTTCGAATGTCGCTGAGATTTCGAAAGGTTTGACCTGCATTTGGAGCAACAAATTAAGCTTAATCAATGCGGCTGCTGCTGCTGCTGCTGCTGCGGCTGCGGCCGCCAACTGACAAACAACGAAAATGTTGACAAAGTGAAACAGTTTGGGTTGTGCTTAGAAAAATTAAATTAAATCACAGACGAGCAAAGCAAAGACGACTCTTGGGGATGATGCCAAGCGGGTCGGGGATGATCATGAGGTAAATGATCAACGGAGAGCAGGGATTTGCTATTTGCTATTTCTATTCCTATTGCTACTGCTATTTCTACTGCTGCTACTGCTGTTGCTAATGCGACTGCTACTGCGACCATGCCACCTTCCTGGTTCGTTGATTCGAAAACAAGTTGCGAAATGAGACGAGCGCTCCACTGATTCTGCTCTGGTTCCCGCAGACGCTGGCAATCGCTGCCCATATTATTATGTATATCTGTTTTATCGCTGGCAATGTGACGCATGGTAATTGTAATTGCCGGCACGTGAGTCGGACCGAGCTGGCCTGACCGCCATCAGAACCCCAAACTACACTACAAAAGAATTTGGATCGATTTCAAATGCCCATCCAAAGGTGACAAGTGTCTATTTTGAATAAAGATTGGAGCAGTCAAAGGTTACACACACAAGAGGGATAACTGAAGTGGAAAATGCGTCCCTCAGAATTAATCAGCATTATTACCTTAAATTTATATCAAAAACTATTGAATGAATGGCATATTCCACAAAAGAATTGATATATTTTTCAAGGTGTCTTATTATTATTATTTATTTTGGTGATTTGTTTGTCTATTGATTTGTTATGGTGAAAAATTGCAAGGGCTCATGAATTTGGAAAGAATATTTGAGTTGAATATTTTTGAATCATTACTTGATATTTACTTGAAAAATTCCCAAATAAATTAAGTATGTATAATTAAGTGTCACTCCATTCCCCAACGACGCAATAAATGCATTCAAATTCAGTTTAATCGTCCATCAAAAGTTGACAAAGTTATATTTATTTTTGTTTTCGTTTCGAGTGTTTACCTTATTATGGTCAAAAGTTGAAAGGTAGAACGTACATTAACGCTGCCAAAATTGTTATTTTTGCCCCATATTTACTTACAAATTTACTGTTGCATAAAATAAACTGTAGAACATGAAAATTTAGATACGTTTTTAGTAAAAGGTTTCAATATTAAGACCTACTAAGTTAGATTGCCTAAAGAGTGGTACTTGCTTTTACCTTCTTGTAGTTGTTAGCACTTAAATTGTAGAGCCCATTTAAATAGTGATCTGGTTTGTTTAAAGAATCCCTAAATTGTGGCGAATGGTTAGAATTAATAAGTTTGATCTGGGACCTATTCAATTTATTTTTAACATAATGTTATTATAATTGTTACACCCATAACAAATCAGGCACAAGCGCCAATTCTTTTTTGCTGTGTAGGCAAATAGTTTTGATTTGGTTTCTGCGTTTGATTTGGCCAACTAGACCAGAGAATCATCATCTCTTGGCCCTGGCCCAGTGATGGGTTGCTGAAATGAATCTTTCCTTTGAACTATCATAGGTCATCAACCGCCACCGCCACCGCCTTCGCCTTCCTTCTTCGCCGACAGTTGTGTTCGGTTGGCCAATTATCGTTGCGACAAACTAAACTTTAGTGCGATCAAAAAAGCTTGATAGTGATTATTATTTTTATATTTCCTAGAATTAATGTCCCGAGATAATTGTCTTAATCGACTGTACATCGTTTCTTGCACAGTCAGCCAAAAAGCAGAAAAAATTTAAAAGGAAAAAAAAGCAATCGGTAAGAACACAGATTGACAAAACAAAGTGCGCAGCAGCAGAAAAAAACTGAAAAACAATCGGCAAGATTTCATTTCATATGACCAATGCGGTTTTATCCAAAGTGGAGGCCACAAAACGCCCAAAAAAAATCGCGACAGGAAGTGATCCGGGATATAGCCGCGATGAGTTGGCTCGAAAGTCCGGTGGATTGGTGTAATAGTTTTGCCCAAGTCAATGGTTTAAACCCTTTAAATCTTTAAAGACAGATTCAATTGAGAATGCACTCTTTACCATATTTGTGTGTGGACATGCCAATGTACCATACATTGCATCTATTCAATCGGAAAGCCAAAGCCAAAGCCAAAGCCAAAGCCCAAAGGTTTCTTTTGATCGCCTCGAGAACCCGACGATCACCATCATGACCATGGATGGGATGGGATGGGACGGGATGGGCCCTTTTCAATTACAGTCATTAAAATGCGTGTCCACTTTAATTACAAATTTCAAAACAGCAAAGAACAGCAGAAAAGGCGAACGCCGCCGAGGTGGATAAAAGTGCGCATAGATTTCGCAGCATTTTTGCCCCCGGGGGGAATGGGATATATATGGAGTCGCCACTGTCATTGTCCACCAGTTCAGTTCAGTTGAGTTGAGTTCGGTTTGGTTGGTTGGTCGGTTGGTTGGTCGGTTGGTTGGTTGGCAATCGCTGGACGACAGGCGGTGTATTATGCGACAATGACCTCTTTTCCGTGCTTAGGACATTCAAGGCCAATAACAAAGAGTTATGTATCCATGAGATACAAAGGCGACTCGGCCGCAGCTTGGTGGCTTCGCAGCTCTGCTGGCTTACTACTACTAGAAGTACCAGTATAGAGTGTGTATGTGCCACGCCGTGGATGTGGCATGCAGCAGCAATGGCCTATGCCGCAGACACTCGGCAACAAGGTGTTCCCCGTTGGGAGTCCTTTTTCGAAATCACAGAAGATGTTCATAGTAAAAAGGCTACCCCGCAATATAGTTTGTGTTCTAGATAGAGTTCAAGCAGCAGGATTGGTTGTCCCGTGTAGTTACCTTTCAGGATTATAATAATGCTGAAGAAATATAGAAATTAGAACCAAAATAAAATAGCTACTAGATCTAAATCATTTTGACTTGCATTTGGTTTCTTAGTTTTTGGAAATCGAATTACAAAAATAAAGGAAAGAACTAAATAGAATTACTACCTCAAACTAAGTTTCCTCCTTGGCTGACTTCAAAATAGAGACTTTGTTGTCCTGTGTAATTACCTTTCAGGATGATAATGATAGTGATGATGATAATGCTCCTGCCTCCTGGTTCGATCTATGCTATGCTATACCAGCTCCGCTGGGCCAACTCCCTTTGCGCCTTTGTGTTGACGACCAGGACAATGTTGATGTTGATTGCAACGCATGTGCATTTTATATTACATTATATGATAGCAGACCAGTATCCAAGTGTTCGTGGCCATTTACCCTCCCCCTCTCCCTTCCCCACCGAAAATTGAAAAGACCTCCACCAAAGTCGGCGGCAAAAGAGGCAAGGCAACCAAAGTCGTGTCCGCGGCGCACAAATTTATTGCTTTCGCTGCTGTGAAGGCGACGAAGAAGCCGGCCTGCAGAAAATCTACGTCCATGCGCTCCACGTTCGCCTTTTGCGGGCTTCGCAAATATTTATGCAAGTCAAGAGCATAAAAATGTCGCAAGAAAATGAGCAGACCAGTACCAGTGCAGCCATTAACTGACCACTTGGCCCAGCAGGCAAGTGCTTTACCTCCTTCCTATCCCCATCCCCATCCCCATCCCCATCAGCTTCTCTTAACCAACTTGGATTCTTTTTTTTTTTGCTTTCGAGCCCAGAGACACGCGAGAATCGGGGAAGAGCTCTTCAGCAGCAATGCCATCTCGTGGCGGGCCAATTTTCCACCATCTCAGCGCCAAAAAGTTGCATTTGCCTCTTGCGTCTCTCCTCGGAACTCCCATTTTACACCCATTGGCTTGGGATATTATCACTTTGTTCGCTGGTTTATACCTGCTGGAGGAGGGGACTCGGCGAAGGTTGTGGCTCACCACTGCAAATGGGTTATGGGTCAGGGGTTAACATAGTTATGCATTCATAAACTAATCCAATTTGTGTCTAATCCAGAATTGATGCTAAGATTTCGCAGAATGTTTCTAAAAAAAATATATATTCTATCAGTATGCCATTTTTAAAGTTATGGATACAATTCAAAAATCCAAAGAATCATAGATTCTGAAGTCTTGTAAATCTGTGAAATGTTCATCTCTTGAAATAATTCTTTTTTAACTATCAGTGCGCTAATAAGAATTATTGAGACAACTTAATAATTGTAATATTTACAGGGGTATTCAAATATCGTCTTACTATATTTGCTATTTATTATTTATTTAAGGAGAAAACCAGGAATTCAGTGGTTAAAGTCTACCCCTGATTTTCTTTTTATTAAGTTGCATTTTGTGAAGGGTTTCTGTTTTTACAAATGAACATTTAAAAGTATTTTATGGGGCAACCTGCCTTGCTTCTAGATACCTCAGAGGGTATACAAGTAAACAGAAAATAGATTCAACATAATCTGGCATTTCAATCGTTTAAATCCGATTTGGAAACCAAGTTATGTCCAAGTACAAGCACTTAATACTCCGTACTCCATTGGAGTACGTCATCTTTGGGCGGCAACACACTGTTTCCATGAACACATAGTTCACATTGGCTAAAGTTGTTGCTTCTCAGCCGGTCATCCATGGAAATCATTGAGCAACTTAATAATTGCAATTATGCATGATTTTTCTAAACGTAAACATCTAAAGATTATGAGATTCATTTTTCGTGACGAGATCTACTGCGGCGCCGTAGATCGACCTTCAAAATTAGCAAACGACCGACTGACTGATGGTGTATTGTGGTGCCGGTTGGTGGTTGGTTGGTGGTTCATAATGGTTTTCGGGTTCTTGGTATTTGGGCTATCACCTTTTTGCATAGATCTTTACAGGTATTCAATCCTAGGTACGCAACAACGGTACTGAATCCTGTTCAGAAAATAAATATAGACACGAACGAAACAGGTAGACGGCATTCCGATAGATAGATAATCCATAGGCCCATAAAAACCCAAATGACAGAACCCAAAAACTGGTGGTCGGTCGTAAATAAACAGATGGGTCGCTGCTCAAATATATTTTTCTGGACAGCGGACTTAAAGTGGCTTTCCCTCGCTTATCGTTTTCATCTCGGTTACTATCTCGCACCATTAGCCGTGTCATGCTCGTTTTCGAATCAGAGTCTTTCCAAATCCAATCAGAGCACGTCTAACCCAAGAGCTCTCTCTCCCAGAACTTTTCCGCTAAACGATTGTCTGTCTTTCCGACCTTAGAGCAGTAGTATCTTTTATAAGGCATTCCATTTATACGGCTACACGCAAAGAAAAATGTCATGCAATAACGCTTTATGCGATTTTATGTCTCACTTCGAGAGAACGATTTAAAAAAAATATATATCTATATATATAATCAAGAGACTAAGTAAAATTAAAATCATGAATATAATAATAAAATGTAGGAATTGAATCCATTTAAAGTTTTATCTAATGTAGGTATTTACTAATATAAGAATATAAATAAATAAATTAATTAACAAAGTTAATAGGTTTGTAGAAAATGAAAATATGAAAAAGGATCTTGCAAAATGATCCTTTACTGCTTGAATCTTGTTAGAGATTTATCTAATACTTTTGGTTGTCTTACATTGAGTTAAAAATTATATATTTGGAAAGACGTCCTATGATTTTAGTGTATAGAATTGAATTTACTGTAAAATTTAATTGAGATGAAAATGATTTATCAAATATTGAATTGAATCTAATCAGAATTTTCTCGAATAAAAACATTTTAAAATTTAAATGATCTTTCCTAAATCTACCAAGATATCTTAATCATAATTAATCATTATTCCCAAAATGGGACAGAACTATAAAATATTTATGCTGTAAATTGTTTTCTTTGGGTGCACAAGTGTCTTGGTGGCTGTTTAACTTTTGGTTGCCCAATTTTGAGGAGCCGAAAAAGCGATGGTTGTGGATTCTGTAAGCGACAAATGCGGCTGGTCAATTTAGGGCTTCACCCCCACAATATAATAAATATATAATTCAGATTTCTGGAATGGAACTTTCCACGGATACGCATCTATCCTTTCGGCTTTATATTTCATATATGTACATATATATCTTGGTGGCAGTCTATAAAAAGAATCCGCAGGCCCTGCTCGTCGGCGAGCTGCCCAAAGGCATTTATCATTCTAAGATAATCAACGATCGGAAACCCCCTGCTTTGATTATGTTAATGATGCTCCTCCGCGCTCGAAACGAATCGAAACGAAACGAACTGGAACTGCAGGCAGGCTTTGGCTTTGGCCAGCTTGGTCCTCTGGGTTTTGTCTTTGGTTTGGCTTGGTTCGATTGCTAAAGTTCTTGGCCCGGCTGGAAACTAGCAGATAGGCAACAGGCAGCAGGCACAGCAAGGCATTCAATGCTGTCTCGATACCGGTTTTCTTTTTTAGCCAACAACCATCCGGCAAAGCAAGCAGCAAGCAGCAAACCAACCAGCAGGCAAACCACCATCCGCCAACCGGCCAATATTGCAATGAACCACAATTAAGCATTTTTCTTTGGCCCTGGCTGATTGCTGATATTATCGTCGCCCAACTGCATTTGAAAATCGTGCTGCGTTTAATGACGCTTATGGCAATCGATCAGCAGCGATCCTGGCCAGTTTCGTTTTATAAATAGATCCCCCATCGTTCGGTCTTCTTGCGGTCTGGTTTTGGTCTCATTGCTGGAATCGTTGCTTTGCTAAGGTATGGTATTGGTATGGTATGGTATGGTATAGGATGGTCTGCAGAAGGTCTGGAAGACTTACAAATTGCATTCGCTTTAAAAATAGACAGACTATTTATGGAGAAAGGGTTCTTGGCTTAGAAGAGCGGCGATACTAAAAATATCCCAACTTCAGGCGGGGATCCTTGCGGGCAGGAAAAAAAAAAAATAATAATAAGAAACCAAGGAGGAGGCTCACGTACGCATTCTCGATGTCCCATCCGCTGATGATTTTAGCTGCTGCTGCTGCTTCTGCTGTTGCTGCTGCGGCTTTTTGTTGCTGCGGCTGCTGCTGCTGTTGCTGCGACGTTCGTGCCTAGCACGCTGTCTATGGCTATACCGCTCTGCCGCTCCGCTCGTTCTGCCGACGTCGACGTCGTCGTCGGGCGTTCGTGATCCGCCGACGACGACCGTATATAAACGCCCCGGCACACTGGCATCCACTCAAAGTGTTTCTTGAAACTGACCGGTGAGAACACGCGGCAGGCCAGCAAATCCAGCGCACTGGATTAAGAACATATATATACCATATATAACCATATAGATTTCTATATAGAATATTCCCCCTAATATAACCCCCATTTATTTTTTTAAACATTTTTTTTGTTTCTAAAAATCCAATTTTGTGCGTGTGTTGCAGGGCGCGAAACGAAATTCCAGAACAGAATATTCCCCCAAATACAACCAAGACAAATCGTTGTAAGACAAACAACAAAAAAAAAACAACCGATAAAACAATAAGTGTATCTGTGAGATACACGCAGTGCCAAAGCAAAAAAGACAAGTTTTAAACCGACGTTTTTAGCTGCTGCTTCAGCTTCAAAAGGTGAGTGAGCCAAGGTTAGAAGAAAGAAAATGGTATTGGGGTCCTTAAGAGGTCCTTTGGGGTTCTCAAACCTGCCTTATCTGCATCGCATTGAAATGCCACCACCACCCAATGGTGGTGCACCACCCCCCACCCGTTTTTTGTTTTTTTTTCTTTCGTGGGGCTTCGATTTCGCAAATCTCCACCAGCATTTCTTAACGAGTTTCGATTGCCAAGTCTTGCGCGGGGACCTAAATGCAGTTTTTGTTTTTTTTATTTTTTTTTTCTTTTGGCCAACAAGAGCCGCTCGTAAATTATAAAGATCGTATCTCGGAGCTCTTGGGGACCCGGCTTCTCGACCAGCGCGACCAAAAAAAGGTTACGCAACGCCCGCGAAAATATGGCCAAAATATATGCAGCAATCGTTTGGCAGCAATACAAAATACAATACAATAGAGGGTATTAAATAATCATAATACATGCACACAATATTTAAGGTTTTGAGGGTTAAAGAACCCGAACCGTTAGGCTCCAGGCTGTGGCCAATAAATTGGGCTTTATCGATAAGGCCATTAAACGGCCGAATTGATTAGCATAAGGAAATAAGCAGATGGCCGTTTCAAGAGGTGAATTTGCAAGTCAGCCGTTATCAGATGGCTTTTTATTTCGAGTTAGCCACCGAAAACTTAAGTGATCGTTATTTAAGTGCCGCGCATTTGAATAATTAAGCGCTGTAAATCTGGGCCAATAACCAAAGGTTGAGAGAAAATTAAGGGGATGCTGGAGGGGGAGGGGGAAGGGGAGGAGGTTGAGGTTCAAAATTCAGGAGTGGAAAACAGGGTCTGCGAACTGCCCGTCGACGGTCAATTTAATCCAGAGGTAGAATTTCACTTAATCGAATCACAAAAGAACCAAAACGAAACGATAATTGGGGAATTAAAGCGGAGGAATAGAAAGTCCAGCTAAAAAAAAAAAAAAAAAATTAAATCTTTCACTGAGGGTCATTGTGCAGCATTTTTTTTATGGTTTCCATGTGCCAGTTTTCTTTTTTTTTCTTGAATGTATTAAATCAAGTCCATTGTTTGGCATATTCCTTTTTTGTTTTTTTGTAGAATGAAGTGCCAACTGCTTTTCGTGGCCACCGTGTGCCTGGCCAGCGTTTGGGCGTTGCCGGTTCCCGACGAGGAGGTGGCCATCCAGCCGGACAACGGCGCCAAGGCCGAGTTGCTGACCAAAACCGTGCTGCCCACGGCCGTTGAGCCGGCACCATTGAAGCCCGACACCGAGAAGGCACCGGAGCTGCCAAAGATCGAAGCCAAGGCCAATTCCGTTCCGGAATCACCAATTACCCCGGCAGCTGGTGGGGATTCCGGCAAGGAGATCGCCAACACGGTCGAGCTGAAGGCCAGTGCGCCGGATGTTGAGACCGCCCCGTCCATACCCGAGAAGAAGAACCTGCCCGAGGAGGCGAAGCCCGTCCAGGAAGTCACCGCCGAGGCCGACAAGAAACAGGAGAAGACTGCGCGCACGGAGGCGGAACCCGTCGTGGAGGCAACTCAACCGCAACCGCAGGCAACCAAGGCCATTGAACTTGCCCCCGAGGCACCGGCCGCCAATGCCGAGGTCCAGAAGCAGGTTGTCGACGAGGCCAAGCCCCAGGAGCCCAAGAGCGAGGCCAAGTCCGCCGAGGAGCAGCCAGCCATTCCCGCTGCCATCGAAGCGAAGGAAACAGTTGTCGCCGCCGCCGCCGCTGCTCCCGTTGAACAGCCCGCCCGCCAGGAGAGGATCAATGAGATTGAGCAGAAGGATGCCAAGAAGGAAGCTGCTGCTGCTGAGTCTGAGGAGCCCGCCAAGTCCGCCGAAGCTGCACCTGCTCAGGAACCGGCCAAGTCGGAGAGCAACATCCAGGTGATTGCCCCCGAGAAGAAGTCCATTGAATCGACTCCCGCTGCTGCTCCTGCTGCTGCTCCCGCTGCTTCTCCCGCTGCCCAGGCTGCCCAGGCCAAGTCCGGTGAGGCACCCAAGCCCGTCGACCAGCAGAAGAACACCGAGACCGTGGCCGAGACCGCTCCCGTGCTGAAGACCAATGCACCACTGGCACCGGCTGGCGCCACCAAGGTGAACGAGCCCGCCAAGGAGCAGGAGAAGGAGCAGCCGGCCGAACCGAAGGCCTTGCCCGAGCAGAAGAAATCGGAGGAGGAGGTGGCAGCAGCAGCTTCGGCTCCAGTGGCACCTGAGGCACCAGCAGCTGCCGCTGCTGCCGTTCCCGAGGCCAAGAAGATCGAGGAAGCCAAGAGCCCGGAAGCCGAGAAGATCGCCGATGAGCCGAAGAAGTCGTCGGAGGAGAAGTCCGACAAGACCGACTCGAAGGCCGATGACTCGTCGGAGTCCAAGGAGTCCGAGGAGAGCAGCGAATCGAAGGAGAACTAGGGATAGTAAGAGCTTTACCGTCTAACCACCTTGCCCCCCCGCCCTCCTCCCCGCCCAAAAAAAAAAAACAAAATCCAAGACCCAAAATCCGAAATCCGAAACCTGAATCCTGAAAGGCAGGAAAGAAATCTTCCGAACATCGCACCACTGCTACGTTTTGGCAGCGTCTTAATATTACGATCGTAGTTAGTGGTATCCTTAGTTGTAAATGGAGCAGTCGCACAACCATTTAATCCGAACACGAAGGGAAGAGCTGAACATTGAGGCGCCCGGAACAATAGAACCAAGTGGATCGAACAAAAAAGCAAAAAAAAAAAAAAACACACACAAAAAAAGGAAAAAATATATAAAACAAACAACACACACACACAACAAACAGGACAAACCGCTAAGATGGCATAAAGTAATACTTATAATTATAATTTAATTAATGTAATTTTAATTAAATCTTAGTCATTGCAAGACAACCGAACCGAACCCCACAAGCCCCTCAAACACACCACCAACCCCAAAAAGCAAAAAAACACACCCGAGAGTCCTAGATCAGCCTGTCCCATTCGATAACCATCTTCAATAACCCCGGAACGAAGCCAGCACTCGAGTATCGTATCGTATCGCCCTATGATACCTTATAAATGAAATCCTTTTTTTTTATCTGAGTTCTAACATAATGAAACTACATTTAATAACGATAGTGTTATAACGTATATATGAGAAGAAGTATATATGATTTTATATAGACTGAGAAAATTCTTAAATAAAAATCGAAAAACTAAAATACAGCATGGGCTCGTTGAATGATTTCTTGGGGTAATAACATTTCACTGGGGGGATTGATATTACATATAAGGAAAACTGTTTCCAAAATAACCGATAGACTGATTTGATTGTAAAACTACTTGGATAGAGGAGCTCTTACATTACATAGTTCAGATGGTTAAACCAATTATAATTCTTTATTTAATTGGTGAGTTGTATAATATAAATTTCCTATTATATTTGAGAGAAAATCTTCATTTTAGTCTAGACAATTAAAAGCTGTTCAATATTTAATAAGATCTAAATGGTAAACCATTTGCATATAGACAGCACTTAACTATACAAATCTGATGACCGTGTCAAATTAATAAACAAATCATTTATTCGATAAACAATTGCAAGAAATCCAATGTCGAAAGAAAGCGATTATATTCCCAAAACCCTGTGAACAGACAGCAGATGATTCCCTTCTGATGATTATATATTTCATTGGTTTATAAAGATTTATTGCTTATCTGTTGATAAATTATATTGGGTAATATTTTATAATCGATTGTAAAGCATTCTGTTTGACTGCCCTATACCAAGTGGCCCGAAGTTAAGGTGTTCACATTGGCAGAACCCTATGAACTGAACAGAACGTAATACCATTCGGTTGGACAACACTTGATTATGCAGTTCTGGTGGCTATGCCAATTATATACGTAGTTAGCTTGGATTATAGAGCTTCATTGTTGACTGGCCAATTCCAAGTATTCCCCACAGATGCACAGATGCATAGATGCATAGAAGCAGTGCCAAACCAGTTCCCCGGATCAGCCAGGTCTACAGAGTACAGGGCACCTACCCAGCATCTAATCTAGCTGCGATGGAAAACAAATTCGATTTGCCGAGGTGGCGCATGCTCGCATTGTGATCGGTTATTACCGATTGAATTACCGACTAGTGACTACTACCGGCTTTGGTCGCTTACCTTCTGCGTCAGCATCTGGCAGGCAATAACGCCCAAGGCCCACCAGTCCACAGCATGGCCATAAGGTTCGCCGCACAGAATCTCCGGTGCTGAAACGAGACGAGATGGGGAGAACGTTTTACCCACCCGCAAACAAAATGGTGCAGAGACAAAAAAAATGTATGCGATCGATCTTCGGCCTGCCGAATTCGGATGATACGGGGAGGGATGGTATAGCTATAACTATATAGAGATTACTATATAGAACTACACATGGAAGAACGGACCTAGATTGAAAATGAGTTGATGGTTTATTGGGGATAATGCTCGAAAGGCCAATTACATTTCCACTTTGAACGTGTGCTTCAAAGGATTTATTCTGCTTAATTCGATTTTACAATATTAGTTAAGTTGTAAAGTACATTTATCGATTACGTTTATAGCTTGGACATACAGATAAACATTGATTTACATACATACACATCTATATATTGGATCTCTATGGATACAGCATAGAGTCGGTACTATCGTTTAATCACTACAAGTACAATCACAATCTTTTATACATACATCTCTACCGCTCCACCGCTACTTGCCTCGATCCCTCAAGCATTTCATTTCATTTCATTTCATTTGATTTGATTTGATTTGATGGGTTCTCAATTTGTTATTGGTTTTTCTCATTCGGTTTTCCATTTCTGTTCGCCTTTTGTTTTCTCTTGCACACCGCACAATTATTATTTTCTTAGCTTGCATCGTTTTCGCTATTTACACAATGGCGATTAAGATAGAATTAACACAATATATTTGCTCTGGCGACAGGTAATTGATTGCTAGTGGTGCTCAAAGCTTGATTTTGGAACGTTTTGCATGGATTGATCGGAATAACTTTGCCTTCGAGCAGGGAAAGTTCGGTGGCCAGCTAAATGGTAGCTATTCCTCTAACCCAATCCGCAATTAAGTGTCGAATTTTGATGGACCCTGTGGTCCTTGTTCCTCTGACTTTACACGTCTATCTACACATGTTTCCCTCCTGCTCTTTTGCGTGGTTTCCAATTCAAAAGGATTCACTGATATCATATCATGCTAACGGTGGTCAATGTAACCTATTGTTTAACTAAAGCAATAACAACTAAAAAAATATTAAGGCAGACAAAAAAGTGTATATCGAACTCTCTACTTTAGCAGGGATATGCCATAATTATTGGACTACTTGCTTATTGTTTTTCTTATCACCCTTGGAAAATGACTCATCCCTGGCACTAAAAACACTACAGTATGCGAACACGGACGAAAAAGAAGTGAAAGTACAAATAAATTAACTCGAGGGCAACTAGTTCGGATGCCAGGATCAAGATGTCTATTCCTTCTCCTCCGCCTCCATCAGCCCGTCACATTGCGAGCGTCTCCTTGATGATCTTCTTCATGGCATTGCCCATGGATGGAGCCGCCGATCCCGAGGTGGAGTAGTCGAACTTAAACAGATACGGCTGCACGTCCGGGAAGGATGTGTCGAAGATCAGGTCCAGCTCGCTCTGGCTGGGCGTCTTGGGCACGTAGTCGTGCCGGTTCATCAGCTCGGTGATGTAGATTACCTTTTCGGTGAGCAAATCGGAGACATTCTCCCGGCACAACTGCCGCTCGTCCTCGTTCTCGTGCTTGATCAGATCCAGGTGCACGGTCCACACCTCCCAGGGAATCGATTCCTGCGGGAAGAGCCAGCGGTTCTTCTTCTTCTGGAAGAACTCCAGACTGATCTGGCCGGAGCCGCAGCTCTCGTTGGAGCGCAGCTTCTCGCTGAACGAGTTGATGGCCCGCTTCACCTTGTGCGTCAAACTGTCCGAGGTGCAGCACACGTAGGTGAAGTCGATGAAGTTGCAGTCGACGTCCGTGTAGCCGACCGTTCCGATCGAGTACTGGGCATCGCCCGTGTACATGTACTTGCCCAGGCAGCGATGGAAGAGCACGGTGTGAAAGATGGTGGCCACCGCCTCGTCCACCTGACGACCCTCCATCGTCAGATCGAAGACCTGCGAGCGCGCGTTCATCTTGAGATTGAAGTGTGGAGCTTTCGGGAGCTTTGTGTTTCGGGCTGGCTATGTACAGTGTTACGTCGATATTGTGACTGTGACCCTTTGATTTCCCCTGCTGCTGTCTTTCTGCCTGCCTGCTGTGTTGTGCCCACTTAATTCGATTCTAATCTGGTTAATCTGCTCTAGTTTTGTTTTTAACTTTTTTCACCGCTCACAGTTGCTTTTTATAGTAAAATAACCTGTCTCTTTTTTCAAATGTACATAGTTTTATAACTTAAGTGGTAGTATCCTAGCATAACAGGTGGTTATATATGCATATATATATATATATGCTTTATTTTCCTATACTGCTCTGTTCCCCTTGCTTCTAAGTTGCTTTTTGCTGGGCTTTCTTTTCGAAATGCCTTTGAACGATTTGGATTGCGATGGATCGGCGCGCCTCTTAACAACTAGTTGTATTACTTAAGTTTTTGTTATATTTAAGTTGGATTAGATCGTACCCATGTATTTGAAAGTGCCACACATGGTGCGCGTATTAGCACCCAGTTTGAGCCACTTGCTAAGGCCGAAGTCGGTAAGTTTAATGTGAAACTGATGTGTTAGCAGGATGTTCTCCGGCTTGGCATCGCGATAGATAATGCCGGCGTTGTGAAGGAAATCTGTAAAGCCATACACACGTATTAAGCGAGATTAGGGCATGCACTACCACCTGTCAACTCACCCAGAGCAAGTGCTATCTCGCCAACATACAGTCGAACCAGATCGATTGAGAAGTGGGTTATTTTTGAGAACAACTCGCCGTTGGGGACGTATTCCGATACTGCAATTAAATTATGTATTTAGTATACATTTTAAATAGTAATGGGGAATCCCTTAAATGACGTACGAATGTGAAGGTTGTGTCGGTTCTGCCACAGATCAATTTGCCTCACAATAAACGGGTAATGGCCGCAGACCTTTTGTATATCCGCCTCGTCCTTAATCTGCCGCACACTATTGTCCTCGATGAGCTACAAACATAGTAGGTGTTATTAAATAACCTCGGGCATATAAACACACTCTCACAACCTTTGACTTTTTAAGAACTTTTAAAGCGTAGCACAGATTGCTGTCGTTCTTATTGCACACCTTGAAGACCACACCAAAGGCTCCCTTGGCCACCAGATGCTCGATGCGGTACTGATCGCTCCGGCTGGACTCCTTGAAGTGCGAATTGAATATTGAGTTGGTCAGAGGCCGGTGCCACTGAGTTTTGCCGCGACGAGAGCCATGAAGCGATGTCAAGCTGCAAGATAATGAAACTGCTGTTAAAAACGAATACTAAAACAATAATAAAGGGACTCTACCTCTTTCGTGTGGCCTTGTTTCGATGACGAAACGAGTTGCGGACCCCGGAGAAACTCCAGTTGAGTCGTCCTCCGCTAAGACTGCCAAGACTCCAGGTGGAGAGCTGCAGAAACAAGACAAATCTTTAGGACTCGGGAACAGCACTGGCTCTTTGTAGTCCGGGTAAACACATGTACAGAAATACTGTAAACTGAACACGCGGCGGGCTGTCTGCTGAATGGCTGAAGCCAACCAAAACTGCCGATGTACAAACGCGGCTCAGCGGATTTATTACGGCTTACCTGCGTCGTTTTCAACGGTTAATCGACCCGTTTTCGCCGGAAAATTAACCTAACGAATTTGCAGAAAGCTGTCTATCTATCTATGAATTTCTACGAAGGCGTAGGGAGAATCTACGATGTTCACTGGGCGACGACACGTGCGCTATGGCCTGTGAATATTTGCAAACAAATAACGCCAGTGATGATCGAACAGCTGGGACTGGATCGCAAAAGAGAGCGAGAGAGCGAATCGAAATCAGCCCATACAGTGGCGACCACTAATATTGGCCTATGTGATAGTTTAATTTTCAAATATTCCTTTTAAAATACACATTTTTAAAGTCAAAATTCAACGTTTAAAAACACATACAAAACTTTTTTTTTGGTTTACCAACAAATACAAACATATTTCAACATGGAAAACGCGAGTTTTTGGGAAATCCGGATTTGTAGTTCCTAAACAATTGAATCTACAGGTATATTGTATGTTGTTGAAGGTATATGCCGATATGTTTTCCGAAACCTTTTTTTTAAACACATGTACATTTATCTATGTATGTATGTACAATTTATTTTTGATACCTGTATAAACATTGTTTCTAGTGGTGAGTATTTTTTGTATACACTTTGGAACCACTGTTGAATTTCACATAATATATACATACATAAGTAGATATGTTGTCATTATGGTGTACCAATAATTTTACCCAAGACTGTGGCTAGCGTTTTCTTTGCTTGAGGGTCACCACTGCGTATGGTTATATACACACACGCACATTAAACAGAACTCTTGGGATCCGGATCTCCATGTGGGCAATGCGAGATCCTCAGGTTCAAAATCAGTTCAAGATGCGGGAGGGTGGTTTTGATAACGGCTTTTAGTGAGACACATTTACATATGCGTGTGTGTGTGTTTTGAGAGCGGGGCGCCAGAATTTGCGCAGCGGGAGGCTCAATTGGCACGACCATGAATTCCGTATGCGAATGCGGAAATAGTTGGGGCATTTGAAAAGTGCGGAAAAAGGCGCCCACACACACGTGCTGTTATGTTTTTTGGGGGCGGGAAAGTGTTTAGGGGTGGAATGAGGGGGGTCAGGGGTCAAAAGCCGCCGCGTCGTAATTGAATAAAGGGGAAAATTCGAACGAAAATGACGCAGTATTTATGGTCAACACTACGTCGATATATTGTATATACATACAAACATACATATCTGTTTGCCTTATCAGTCTGTCCTATATAATACCACCCACTCCACCTCTCGTAACTGTTTTTACCTGCTGCGATTGTAGTGGTGGCTCCTCGGCTGGAAGGGATTGGATTGGGGCCTCTGCCTGGAGTTGGATGTTACTGGGGGTTGGATGCTCCTCCTGCTGATGTTCCTCCTGATGATCGGTGGTGGCGCCTAGTTCACCTGCTGCTCCTTGGGGCCTTCGGCTTCTGCTGCTCGAATTCCGCGTTTGCGAGTTGCCCATCAAAAGTTCCACTCGTTCTCCACGAAAATCCCGTTGTTTCGTTTTGTCCCAACTGTTTGTTGTTTACACACACACACCGCACACACTCACCTCGTTCCACTGGAATTGCGCAATCACTGTGTGCGTGCGTGTGTGTGTGTGGGGGTAGCCGAAAAATCGCAATTAAGACACGCACTTCTCCGCCGGAAAGTGAAATTCAAACACAAGTATTTGGCAGCTTGTTCTTTTTCGCTGTGTTTTTCTTTTTGCTGTGTTACGCTTTGTTGTTGTTGTTTTTGTTGTGCGGGTCGAATGAGGTAGAGGTGTGACCAAGCGGCGCATGGGGCAATAACGAAAAAAGATATGAATATTGAAAAAGGTCACACTTAAATAGTAGGGCTATCCTGTTTATTTTTGCTCAGTGGGAATATTAACCCCTTAATGTATTAACAAAAAGAAAGAGTGCAGATTATAGCCAGTTTGACAATCACAACTGATTTTGTATTTATTGAAATTTAGCTTTCAGTTACAATGTCTCTCTTCCTCAGGAAGTCAAGAAATATTTGGCATTTTTTATTACAAGAAAAACAACATGAGCGTTTATATAAAAGAAGTATCTTTTACGAAATTTTTCAAATTTTCAGAAGTTGTCAGAGTGATTTTATGATTAAAATACAAAATAAACAAAAAAATTAAATTAATCGGATAAGCGATAGTGCCAGCCTATAGTGCAGACAGCCACCCCGAACTGTTCGTGTTTTTCAACACTAAAACGCCAGCGCTCGGGAAATATTTTTTTTACAAACGGAGCTGAAATAGACTTGTAATCCGTTTTCAAAAGGAAGTGTTTTTGTTTTCTTTTGCACTGCGTTAGGCGAAACGCAAAGTGAACGTAAAATCCGATAGCAATGGATATTGAACTAAGTCTGGACGAGATTATTGAGCGGAAGCGCGGACATGGCGGCCGTCCCATGGAGAAGAAGTTGTAAGTCCTCATAGCAGCAAAGCCGGAAAAAATGGCGTTCCAACTTCATGCATTTCTCGTTACAGCAATGGGAACTACTCCAAGCCACGCCGGGTGCTTAATAAGCCGGCCTTCAAGGCCTCGGGCGGATCAGGTGGATCCCTATCGGATCCGCCGGCCCAGCGATCCTTCGACGCGCGTAACAAGATCATACAGAAGACACGTGCCAAGATAGCTGACGCTCGGGACTTGCTCAACCAAAGTATGCGCGACTCGGGCATCGATGCCCGCCAAGTGCTCCTCGAGCGAAAGAAGGGTCGTCCGCTGGGCCCGACCACCAGTGCTGACGGAGAACCATTGCTCACATCGCGCCACGCACGCGGATCGGTGCACATGGGCCACTTTGGCCAGCGTACCATCACCATGTCTAACCGCCCGGGTGGCACAATTCAGGCGGAGTGGGACTCCGACGAGGAGACCGTCGGTCTGGGTGGTGGTGGTGGTGGTCACAAACCGGGCGGCCATCGCCGTCCCTACAACTCCAGACCCAATCAGCCGGGCAAACCCTTTGCTCCGCACGGCTACGTTGATCACGATAATATGCAGGACTTAGAGGATGGTAAGCGCACTAAATCAACATCAGTTCAGGTTCCCTTCTTACAAAACAACCTTTTTTATTTATCAGAGGAGATCACACGTACACTGCACTTTGGCAACTTCATCACTCAGCAGCCGCCGCCTCGCTACACATTTGGTGGCTTCGATCTGAATCGCGACGACGATGTCGAGATGTCCACGGCTCCGCTTAAGAACAACATAGCCAGCGATCCGTTTGCCATCTACGAGGTGGCCCGCAATCGCATCGAGCGTCCGTCGCTGCCGAGTCCACTAGTGGTTGGACGCTCGGATACCAGCGAAAAGCTCTTCGAGCGTCGGCAGCGCAACATGGTAAAGACCAACAATCTGCCGGAATCTTTGCGAGCTCGCCTCTTTGGCGGTGAGCCCGATCGTCGCGTTTCCCATGGAATCTACGCCAACGAAAACAGGGGACAGACCGTTGGTGCTGGTGCTGGTGGTGGTGGAGGTGGAGGTGGAGGTGGTGGCTTAGGTGGTGCCGGTCCCTCATCGTTGACCCGCTCGATGAACTTGCGCCGCTCGCCTCCCACTTTGCCGCTGGGAACATCGAACAGCAAGCCCGGCTACCGCCTGTTGGTTAGCAATCTCCATGCCAACGTGACCACCGCGGACATTCGCGAGCTCTTCAGTGATATTGGACCGATGTACCATGCACATGTGGTGCGTCCGGGCACCGCTGAGGTTATTTACAAGTCACTGGAACACGCCGAGATGGCCGTGGACGCTTATCACCACCGTGAGTTCGATGACCAGCCGATGCACTGTGTTCTGGTCAATCCGCACTCCTCCCACCGCTCGGCGCCCTCCGCCAGGTGAGTTGACTGAATAATACCAACAACTGGGGCATTGGCTAACGCAGATTCTTTCACAGTTCTCGCACCGTGACCACCAACTCATCCGGCGTGGAGGTGGACATCGATGCGCTTCACTCAGTGCTCTTCCGAGACCGCTAGGAAGTGGCGAGCGCGAACTGAGAGGCAACTAGGCAATTTTCCAGCTCCACTAGACACCGTTGAAATCATTCTGACACATCCTACTCTATTCATCATCTCTTTAGTATTAAGAAAACAAATAACATCATTACTCCTTAGGCGCTTTTTGTCTAGTACGAATCAGTCCATAATTTCGTTGTTGGCAAACTGAATAAGTTTATACGACACAGGTTTTCTTTAGCATCAAAGTCTTAGTCGACTGCGAATCCAAATGAATAGTTAAGAAAACAGAACAATACATAAATATAAATGTGTTTTTTTTTTTAAATTACCCGTTCGTCTACTGAATGTCGATTTCCCCAAACAGAACATTTTATCAAACCCAAAACGTATATTGCTTAACTGAGGGTTTTATTTTGTTGTTCTTTTAGGTAACTAAATAATACGTTTCTTTTAAAATGTAGCATCCAGTGAAATTAGATCTGGTGACTTGATTTCAGAACTGAAGTTCGGTGGTCTTATCTCCCAAGTGCCAAGTCCAAAATTGGCTTAAAAGTAAGTAAAAATGTGAGGGACAAAAGCAGATGCTCAGTAATGTTACAATTGCTTGTATAATTTTACATAAAATGTACAGTTTTTAAATTTCATAAAATTAATTCATAATAATTAAAGAGAAAGGAGCAGTTTGGTAAGCGGTTGAGAGATGCAAAAAAAAAAAAAGTATGTATAGAGTAAGGCAGCTCAATTGTCCCGGATGCCCGTGCCGTAATTGGCACCGCCGGCACGATTCAACGCCTCCCGGAAGAGTTCAATGTCCAGTTCGGCCTCCACGCCCGCTTGCAGTTCCACGGCGAAGTTCTGCAGGAAAATATCAAGGATATAGTATATTGAAAGGATATATCTACCTAATAACTACTCACATTAAGCACATCTTTAATGAGCGCCTTATCCGTGGACATCTTGGCCCGCTGAATGACGCCGACCTCCTGGCCAATCCACGTCAGGAAAATGAACTTCTTGCGCTTGGACATCTCGTCACCCATTTGGATGCGTATGTAGCCGAAGGCGCGCTCCGAGTCGCCGAACTGCTGTCGGAACTCCTCGAAGCACTGACCGCGACCATGGACAATGATCTGGGCGCCATCGAACTTGAACACCGCCCACTCGGTGTCCGTGAGATCAGAGCGCACATCCTCGTACGCCTCGCGGATCGAGTCCTTCTCCAGCGAAGTGGCCAGCGGCATCTGCAGAGGAAGAGGAGGAGGAGGTGGATGTCAGTGGGCTGATAAGCTGGCTAGCCAGGTTCCCCGAACGGATGTGAACAACCATCTGGTCATGCATTCCAAGTGCTCCTCGTTCCGCCAAAGCGACTCATCACTGGCCAACGGTAATGAGCAACAATGAATTTAATTTTCATTTACTATATGAGTCAGTTTCGATCGGGGCTTTCGCTTTCGATTTTATATATTTTATTCAATTCATTTCGATTCGTTTCCGTGTCAGGAAACTTAAAAAAACACACGCCACTGCATCGCCCACTTGCAATTATCCAAGGAGATCCACGAAAGCAATTTGTTGGGGTTTAAGTGCTTCATGAACATAATGCCAGCTTACCACTAAAATTACCACCCTTGTATAAATAGCATTACGTATTTTGGAATCGTAAAATAGGGAGAGCTTTTTAATGACGAGATGAATTCGGAAACTATACCCGCATACGATATTGTTTATATCGCTTTGATAATCATATCAAAGGGTTGAACCGCATTTGATTTTCATGGGGGTTCCGCTTCATTGATATTTAAAATAGTTCAAAGTGTTTGATAGGATGTTCTTTTATATATTTTATAGTGATTACTTTCTGGGGCAACAAATTATCAAAATGTAAGATTTGGGATGGTCGAAGATTACTTTTAATGGGATTATTATGATCCAATGAACCCGATCTGTTTATTTACTTAGCCCTTGTCTTGTTGAGATTCAAATGCATTCAGTTCAAAATTAAGAAATGCAATTGGGAAACAACTACCAATTTAGAAAGCGTAGAAAGGGTGTGGAATGGGATCGATGACCTTGATATATAGTATTAATCTTCAATTGGTTCGAAAAACGCCCCTTTCCAACAATTGCAGTTCAGCAGACGCCTGATTTTTTCCCCTCTTATTGTCTTAAGCGGATCGCTGTATTAAAAGCAATTTACGCGTGACAATTTTCAATCAGCAGCCGACAGAAAGCAGGTCACAGATTTGATAAGTGACTTCGACTCGGGGAACGGGATGACAACAAATAAAGCCAACTGACCACAAAGTGTGTGGCTTGGAGTCGGGAACGAGACGAGATACAAGTAAGAAATAGTAGACACTGGGGACTGGAGCAGAGATTCGGATACAGAGATACGAAAACAGATAGAGATCGAGTTGGAAGTTGGAATTTAGAAGTTGGAAGTGGAGCCCCGGTTTATAATGCGTTCAATGACCGGAGAGTACGGCGTCTGGTGAGAAAAATCAATTAGAAAAGCGACGACTGCCGAAAATATCAAAAAGCCAAACAATTAAACCCAAAAGATGATTCGGGCGACGACTTTCACAACGCAACGCATCTCGTTCGCAGAGTATTTAACCGGCTAAACATATATATAGAGTATATATATACATAGAACTATAGAACAGCTCGGAAGCTCCCGTTTCGTGCTTGTGAATTAATTAGGCAAAATGAAAAAAAAAAAAAAAAAAAAAATGTGAAAAAGATGCGAATGCGAAGAACTGTGCCAAAAATGAGCGGATGGCTCGACGACGAAAAAAAAAAAACCGTTGCAGCAAATGACCCGCCAAACAATCAGAATTTCCCCACCAAAAGTAAAAAAGAAAAAACCAAAAACCAGATAGGAGATACATATGTCATATGTACGAGTATGTAGGTGTACGTGAGCCAATTTGTTGGCTAAAATTAGCTGATATTAAGTTAACAACCGATAAGCCCGATAACGGTGGTGCAAACAGTATACGCGGCCATATCTTTTAGCCGCACTCGCTGACAACACGACAAATTAGATCACTCCAGTTTTTGCGGCAACTGCACCTTAAAGATCCAACCGAATATCCCCCCCTCCCACTATTAAATGCCCCAAAATAAAAATAAAGTCTTTGGGAGATAAGAAAATAGTGCTACAAACCTCGAAACTGATTTATTGCGGAAAGTTATTTGGGGGATCGTTCGCCTAGGATTGCCGTTCCTTGGGGCAATTAGTGTTAAGTAAATGGAGCCATCCCAACAATCTGGCAATCTGCTGGGCTCGGTGTTTTTTTTAATTTTACACACCATAAAAATCCACTCGAGGTTGGCGCTTAGTCACAATTGATATAGGGTTTGTTCCGAGGGAATGAGAGCCTGCTTCCAAGGAAAACCAGCGTGTGTCACGATCTATAGATTTACTTTACAAATATATAGCAAGCGATGAACAGGGGCAGTGCCATTATTGATTATACTTTATCTTTGCACTCAAAAAATCAATCAACAGATTTCTTTTTCTCACAGGAAATCAAATAGTTTCTTCTTTTGGTTTCCAAAATAATTATTAGCCATTAATGTGGGTATTGACCACCACCCCCTTGGTGGGAAAGCCATCTGCCTGGCAGATTTCGTTCCACTGAAATGGCAGGCGACCATGTCCGACAGATACGTAATGAGCCATATATGACCATACTATATGTGCATTCATATAGCACATTGCACATTGCAAATATATAATTTATGTGGTGTGTGTGTGTGTGCGTCTCTGTATCTATCAATATCAGCCGTATTGTAAAGCTGGCAATGAAGCTACAGACGTTGCATCGACATGGCTAAAACTGCAGCTAAACGTAACCGAGCATACGCCACTGCAAATAAAAATTGCTAACGAAAACGAAACTGAAACTGAATCCGAGCCAGGTGCTCAAAACTGAAATTGCCGCGCAGCCCAATGTGGATACCCTTGCCAAAGGTATCGCAATTCCGGGAAATCCATTGAACAGGGAAGCTAAAGCATCGCAAACATATAGGGAATTATAAGTAAGAACGCCTTTATGATGATAATACATTTCGAAAATATTAAGAGCTGGGAAAAGTATTGAACAAGGAATCTTAGATATCGTAAACAAAGAAATACATAAATGTATGTGCTAGAAATAATTATCAAACTTAAAACCTTTTGAAGTTCTCATATGATTTGATAAATACAAAAGTCCGTAATATATTTTTAATCAGAAAAAGTAAAACCTCAGGTAATTTTCCAACGAAAAACAGTAATAGAAATGAAAATACTTCCGTGACCTAATATGAATCAAAGAAACAAAAAGTCCCAATTTTATCAGAACCAAGCAGAACCAACCTTCCCTTCTTTACTTTCCTATCTACTTTCGCTTTGCGTAATCTATCATAATATTCTGTGGCATTATGTCAAAATAACTCCGATTGTGCACATAACGAACCCAATAAAGTGTGAATGAACAGAGAGTTAGGGTATTCGATTAGTACTCCATAATGTTCATATTGTGTTTTATTCGTTTTCGTTATGTACATGTGGACTGAAATTGTTTTATGTTGACTAATGAATTTCAGATAAGCAACAGAAAATAACTCGAAATAATGCGCTCGCATCGAAGAAGGAAGCAAAAGGAGACGCCGATGCAGATACAGTATCTGTATCTGCATAATGCGGTATGTATTCTTGGCGAGAAGTGGAAATCCAACTGACTCACAGAACGAAGAGTTCAATTAGAAAATGACCAATGAATCGGACCTCGAATCGGTTATTAACCGCTTCGCCTTGGCCAGGCCAAAATATAAAGGATATATGTATGTATAAAATAAATAATACTGATGTGTAGTGACAAATTGCCAGTTGTCATTGGCGCAGTCGCAATGACGTATTTGCTCCGCCGATATGCCAATGTTCTTTATTTCTTTTTTTTTATTTAGTCGTTGATGTTTCGGTTCTCAGTTCTCCGTATTCAGTTCTCCATTCTCAGTTCTCAATTCTCAGTTCGCGGGGCTTTTATTTATTCACTGCAGTGCAGGAAACAAAGGAGCAAACTGTTTTTGTCGCCGCTCACGCCCCAAAAGTCGCCAGAGTTGGGGAATTTTTCAGATGGCGGAGGGAGGAGTATATGGCATGGGATGGGATGGGATGGGATGGGGTTGCGTGATTCATGCCGACCGAAGGTGACGACGACTTGGGGAGTGGATGACCAAAATTGGCGCGTCGGGAAGCAAACCAAACCAAATGCATCCAATCGATACTTATAATCTTTTTTCGGTCTGCCACTTGGCATGCATATTTTTTTAAATCGATGGGATGGTTGGGAAAGTTCTTTGTTGGAAACCCAGGAGATTAGGGGTTTAGAGTGTACTGCTCTCGAGAGTCACATGAATCTGCGCGATCAGCTGAACCCCCCGCAGGAAGATAAGGGCCAGCCAATTGCAACTGTTTTCCCCACTTCGGGCACTCAAAATTAAACAGCGTAATCTGGAAAAGTATACGTGTTTGCCAGGGAGACGAGGCGGCCGCATTAACCACAGGGCATCTTTGGCTTTGGCTTTGGCTTCGGCCAAGTATCGCTCGAACAAGTGCAGCGGTTTATTCCCCACCGCACCGAAAACGCACTTGAACTTGATATCCATCGAGTGCGTCGCGTCGAAGGCGTTGGAGTCGCCCCCGCAATCTGCATCCGCCCCCGCGCATTCATCTCGTTTCCGAGTTGAGGCGACTGTGACTGTGACGCGGCGACTGTGCATGTGTCTCTCTCTCTCGAAAAAAAAAAAAAAAAAAGAAAAAACCCAACATCCCTTCCCCTTTCAACCCCACAGTCCACACAAGGGTCCCCCTTCCATCCTCCTGCTCTCCTTGGACCCCAGCACTCTTAGCCGGTTCTTGCGGAGTCGCCGGCGAACCAATGTCAGAGTTATTTACAGACACTCACGCATGCCCACAGAGATACACACACGCCGCATGGGCCATGGGGCCATGGGCTACAGCAACTCCACACGGAGAGAAAAACCCGATATTTTTTCAAATATTAAAATTTAATATTAAATTATTAGAATTTTTGCATATGACTGAAGGTCGTTTAAAATGTACTGCAATTTAAACTAAACAATAAAAATTGTTACATTTTAAAATAAAAATTGAAAACATTTTTCTTTTACGGTGCTCAATTGCACAACTTTTATATATTAACTGTTTTCTGTGCATTTGACGGGAGTTCAACTATGTATATTTAAATTTGTAGATTATTTTCGCTTAAAATAATTCAAACAGTTTAATACCCAATATATCAATTTAAATATTTAAGTATCCAATTTTAACCTGAACATTTAAAATCACAATAATAATAAAGTTCGATCATTCGTATCGTAATAAATCAATTTTGATTTTAAATGCTGCTGCTTATAAGGAGTTTGCAATGGCTTTAAATCCTTCCTTTCTGCATGCATTTTTTCTTTCTGTGCATTTGCAGCGATATCTGCTCTCTGGTCTCTCAGTCTGCCCCATTCGATCTTTTGTAATTCTTAATTTTCGGTCGTCCCCTGCCCGTATACACACACATTTCGTGGACCCTGGAGCGCAGGACTCCTACCCCTTCCCCCTACCCCTTTCCCCCTTCTTCTTCTTCTTCCCCCTCCCTCCCTCTTCCCCCTTCGCCCCTTTACTCACCCTTCTTGGCTTGGTCTCCACCAATTGCTCGACCTCGATGCCGTCCGACATGCTGGTGTTCTGGGTTCTGGGTCGGGAGTACTGGATGTTCTGGACTTGGATTTAGATGTGGATGCTGGTGCCCTCTTCTTCGGTTGTTCGGATCTGCGCGAGTGGGGTTCTCGAAGGAAGGCGAAGGGCGGGGGAGGCGTGGCGGACTGATCCGGCGGGGTAACAAAGTGGCCGAGGGTGACAACGAAAACAAAAACACACAGAGAGCAGGGAGCTAACAAAAAAAAAAACAGGCAGGCAGGCAGGCAGGCACAAAGACGAGGAGGAGGAACAGAACCAGCACAGTTCCAGAGTTTCAGAGCAGCCGCTGAGTTTTGCTTTCGGTCCGTTTACCACGAGTTGTTTCTCACGAATGCGGCGCTGCCGGCGTTTGCAACTCCAACGAAGTGCCGACCGTCCAAGTCGGCGGCGCAGTCGCAATGCGTGCGAGCGAGATGCACTGCGTCGGCAGAGGTGGCGGCAGAGATTCCGGCAGAGGCCCCAACGGCAGCTGATTACAATCCAGCGGGCCGGAAAGAGATAGCAGAGTGGGGAGCAAGCGAGAGAGAGAGAAAGAGAGACATTTGGCTTTATTTTCAATTTCATTTTCAGTGCAGGCCATTTGGGAACACCAAAAAAAGCCAGATGTTGGCTAGTGTTAATAGGCATGCACTGCGAAAAAATTCTAAATAATAAGTTACTAAAAATCATAGATCGGGGTTACCAAACACCATCGTCAGAATATTAAAACTTGTCCAAAGCTATATCAAAAGTTATACAATTATAAATACCTTTAAAACAAATATATAAACATTTTAATCTTCTTTATAAGCATGATAAAAAATAACATTTAATAACAATAAATTTTCCAAAAAATAATGATAATATGCAGTTTGGATTTAGGAAATCATTAAAAAATAAAAATTCATTAATTAACATCAAAAAGTTGAGAATTAGAAGCTTGCGGCTTAAATTTAAAAACTTTGAAAACAAAAATTTTAAGTTGTGTTTGATTTTAAATTCAAATCATAAACTTGAAAAAAGAATACCAGTTCCCATAAGAATTAATTTTATTAACATACTTTAGTCCTCGGATTTAAAAAAATTATTGATTGTCTTGAAAAAAGGTGTCATACGGGTGTTCAATAATTTTTTCTTTATTCAAAAGAACATTCTATATTTTTTAGAATTAAAATTTTAACAAATTTAGCTTCAGTTATAAAGCAAAAATGTGCAAATTTATAAGAACTCGGGGTCACCACTTCATAAAATAAGCAAACAAAAGAATAAGTTGGTATTATATGGTATAATCTGAAAATCATGTAAGGTTTCCTCGAAAGTGCTAGATATATGTATATCTAGTAAATATATATATTTATGTGCATATATGTATATGTATCCAAAAAATACGGCTAAGCCAGCACTGTTCGTTGCCGTCGGCTGGGAATGCAACCCGTGGAATTAGCGCAGAACATTTGTACAAATAAGAAGCCGGGTTTTTTTTTTTTTGGAGAGGGGGCAGATGGAGGAGCTATTTTCTTGGATTCAACTGCCGTTGGAATGCGGCTGATTCAATGATTTGCTGCGAAGCGTGGGCGCAGTAGCTTCTGCTGCGTTCTTCTTTTTTTTCCCCTCCTGGGATGCAGTTGCTCCGTTAATTTGTCCACAATTAGAATGACGGAGGACCAAGTTGCCTATGGCAACATTGGCTCTTCCGCCGGGCAACACGGCAACATGCAACACATGCAACATGCTGCCGGTAAACAAGTTGCCGTGGTGAGTTTGCGCCGCTTGGCGTCGCCCACGCAACATGTTTGGGGCATCGCCTCAGTGGAGCGGAGGCATCAGTCGCCCTCGGCCGTCAGTTGCCCACGACGCGTTCCTCGCAACGGTAGCAGCCGAGGAGCAATCTCCTCCTGGCCAAAGCCGCCGCCTACTCGTGTTCGCCCCCGCACACAAAAAGAAAAGTTCGAGTTTTCCAGCGCGCAAGCGTCGCAGTCTCTAAAAAATCGCGAATTGCAGTGACTTTACCTTCGCTTTTCCCGTATTTGTTTACTTTTTTTCGGGTGTTCGAAAAGGGAAATGACCGACAGGCAGTGATCATCGTGTCCCGTTATCCGGGATGCAGTTCATCAACGAGGAGCAGGGCGATGCCGACCAGGTGGCGGCTGCGTATCGAGCTCTGCTCGACTACTATGCCAATGCGCCCAGTGCATCGGGACATATAGTGTCCCTGACCGCTGGTCCCTACAACGAAACGGGTTCGAATGGATCCTATTTGGTGGGCACGAACAGTACCTCCTTCCCGGAGGATTACTTCGCCACGGAGGCGTCGCTGTACTTTAGCACCAGCTCCTCCACCACAGCGAGTCCTGGATCCTCCGGTGGTGGTGGCAGCACCACTGGGATGCCCGTCTGGCTGATTCCCAGCTACAGTGTCATCCTGCTGTTCGCCGTTCTGGGCAATCTCCTGGTCATCTCGACGCTCGTCCAGAACCGTCGGATGCGCACCATCACGAACGTTTTCCTGCTCAATCTGGCCATCTCGGATATGCTTCTGGGTGTCCTCTGCATGCCGGTCACCTTGGTGGGCACGCTCCTCCGGAACTTCATCTTCGGCGAGTTCCTCTGCAAACTCTTCCAATTCTCGCAAGGTGAGTGAAACACAAAAAAAAAAAAAAACAAATTCAATAAAGGCTTTTTTTTGTGGCCTCCTTAAACGTCGGTTTTATATAACAACCTGTCGTCCCGTAGGAAACACAATAAAAATAATATTCTAATATTAGCTTAGCTGGCCCAATTATTGGCCCTCGGCAGCAGTCTTCAATTAGCCGTAATTACAAATGCATAAGTTGAGTTGGCCCTTTTAATGCCGCGTGTGACTGGAGGAATCCAGTGGCGTTTTTCCACCTTTTCCCTTTTTGCTTTTCGGCTGGGGGGAGCATTAAAAATAATTTTTTACGATTATCGCCGCATGTGGATCGTTTTATTAGCTCTCTGTTCTGGGGAAAAGCTCATAAAGCCAGGAAAATCAAGCCAAGGTGGGCATACATTGTCCTGGTTTCTCCCTGGTTTTTGTTAACCCCCTTTTTTTTTTTTAATGGGTTCTTGCCTCTTTGTATCTATAGATAGTTGCGTGTTTTTCCCGGCGACGCAAAAAAAAATTCAAATCATAATATTTTGGGGGGATACGTTATTGGAGGAAAGTGCTCCTTTGTCTGGCGGACAGGATAATTGCATCCAAAAGGAAAAGGAAAATGGAGATGGAGTCCTGCCATTACATAACTTGGAATCAAAAAACGTTGTTAGGACAACAGTTGGACGTGATTAAAAAGACATTTGTAGGCGTTATTTAGAGGCTGGGGACAATTAAATGGAATTTCGGCCAGCTCCTCGTTCTTTACGTTTATGTGGATGGCGCATTAGCAGCAAAGCCTCCTCTTACACACATAAATATGTGAGTGAGTGAGTGAGTGTGTGTTTGGTTGTGTATACTTTTCAGGATTTTTCGGACAAGGGAAATTTTATTTACGAACTGGCAACAAGAAATTGTGGCTCATTGCGTAAAGAGCCAGGAGGAAAAGCCGAAATGGATGGATGGTGATGGCGATGGCAATGGCGATGGTGGAAATGGTGCTCTCGAATGGCAAAGGAAAACCCGAAAAGGGAAACTAACTACTTTGCTGGAAAATCAACAAAATAGAATCGAAACAAACGCAAATGCGTAGCATACTCCGCTGAGCAATTTAAAGCGTTTCGTGAGCAAAGGGCGTTGCATACTTTTTGCTCCCGATTTTGTTCGCCGCAACAGTTTGTGAATTAAATAAACATTTTCGCTTTTCAATAGCCACAGAGGATGAATCGCTGCTTTTGGTGGGGGGTGGATAAATATGGAGCAGCAGGACTTTGCGGAGGCGGTTTCACAAATGTGTGTGGGTCGAGCAACAATACCCCGGTGGTGACAGCCATACGGAATCTGAAATTCGAAACAAGCGCCACGCACCTGGGAAACATGCAACAACATGCTGCATGCGACAAAGGTCAAAGGGGAGCGGGAGGAGCTTCCGGTTGGCGTGCAACTTCAGGTGGAACCACCTCTATCCTAATGGCAACCTGGATGCCCGTGGGAGATGTGAGCGGAATTAAGCAAAGAGCGGAGCTCATTGGGCCGCAAACGATGCGTGGGTGACGCCGATGGGACGTCACCTTTTCCGGAGTTCGGAGTCCGGACCTTTTCCCCAAATTGCGGTGCTTAAATGTGGAGCCAGTGGGTAGAGCTTAGAGCCTGGTGGGACAATGAGTCCTCCTCGGTGGAAGGTCCTTGCCTTCAAAGACCAGCGAAGCCTGTCTGTCCTTTTCCGGGATAAGATCTAATCGTTTCACCTAAATTGCTGTTCCACTTTAGTTTCAATTGGGTTTATTCATGATGTCTAGCGAATATACATAAAATATATTTTTAAGTACTTTTGGTACCGTTTCATAAGAAGCGAATGGACTGGTAAAACAATATCCCTTTGATAGAGATCTTTCCACTTAAGTTGGTGTGATGACTGTCTGTCCCTTTTTTGCGATTGGGTTCAAACGTTTCACTTACAAATTTTCCAATTTCTTGTTCCATTTTACTTAATTGCAATACAGGCTTCTTATTATATATATATGTATATAATATATAATAATATACGTACAGTAAATTCTTACGATGCTGAAGAACTGGGAAAATCAGGTCTACTCGATTGAAGATCCTTGCTTCCAAACAGTGCCGCCTATTTGTCCTTTTTCTGATAAAATCAAAGAAATCTCAAAATTTGTTCATATTACATATTTTCAATTCATGAATAAATGATGTCAACAAAATACACATAAAGTACATTCTTAAGTGCCTAACTTTATGAAGGTCCTTGTCTTCGTGACGAAGTTTTTCGCATTTAGTGGTGACTGCTTGACTTTTCGTCTATAAAATAAAAGGATTTTTTAGAGAATTTAGATATTGATTTTTTTGCAAAATCGACTTTTTCATTTTTTTGCACATTTTTTCGGAAAAACTTGCATAAAATGGCGAAAAATCGGTTTATTTTTATTTCTTTCATTGAGTCTTGCATTCTATTTTATTTCAGTTTGTTAAATTAAATTTTCCTAATTTCCAACTTTTTCCTTAAAAGTTAATTAACAACCAGTTTTCGACTTTTTAATTTGTTTCAACCAATTGTTGCTGAATTCATTTAATTTTGCCACAAACTTAAAATTTAAATACGAGCATCAGAAAATGTTTTTATAAGAAAAACACATTCAAATTGACCCAGATAAACATTAATTTACTTGAAGCATGCAACAAAATAATGTTGGAAATAAAAATCATGCATCACGCACTCGTGCACTTATGGCCAAAAAAACAAGTTTGCCTTTGAGCGAGGAAAGTTGAACTGCAACTGTTTGAACCCAAAAGCAAAAGCAAGCCAAAGAATTTCTGTTGTTGTTTGCCAAAAAGAAACTATGTTCTCCTCCCTTTCGGTTATTTTTGCACAATTTTTGTTACACTTGTCAGACTTTCGTTGTTCTTTCTTATTGGCAACACTGCTAGAAACAGTTGTCGTTGGCAATAAAATCGGGAAATAGGTTTGACTTTTGGCCAGAAGGACCTTAAACGGTTTCAAGTGCGATCGACAAGGAACAAGGACACATTTTGGGAAGCATGTCCTTTGACTCATTCCCCAAAAACGAAGTCAAATTTAATGTTAAGCGCAAAAACCAATTTCAAGGCAGTTCGTTGTTTTTTCCCCGAATTTTCCTCCTTTTTTTCCATTTTTTTTTTGTTAGCCATTTGTGGCTGGTCCTTAAAATTCGTTTTGGGCTGTACAAGCTGCGGGACATGTGTTCGACAGCATTTTCTGGGCGTTATGTACACATTGGCCCAACATTGGGAAAAAGTGTCCTGCACCTCGGCGCTTCATGTTTCGTGTTTCAAACGAGAAATAGTGGAAGGTGCGGAAGCCACCTGTCCGTTGAAGGAATTTGCAAGTTTTCCGGTTGGCCGAGCTGGGAATTTCGGCCTGCATGAGAAATTCCTGCTGCACCATTTGCCTGATGAGTTTTTAGCCCACAGCCAAAGGCCAAACGCACACAAACACACTTAACTACTCTTTGGCTAATTGTTGTATAAGAATGAGTGTTTTCCATAAAGAAAACTCCCAAAAAAGGACTCCCTTTTTGACCGACAAAACTTACCTACACAACTGGCTCAAGTTTTGTCGCTTTGGCTTTGTTAGAGAAAACTTTTTGTGCCCCCGGGATTTGTTGGGCATGAAGTTTTTTAATTAATGCACATTCGGAGCCCGGGAATCCGGCCACTTTCATTTCGAGCCAAAAGCCGTGTGCAAAAGAGCGGCAAAGATTCAGAATGAAACACTTGAAAACAATATTAATATCACCGACGAGATAGGAGATACGAGATAGGAGATACTCAAGTGAATCTGCTTCAGACATGTGAAATTGGATGAGGATGAGGATGAGGCTTCTGCCCACCTTCATGTTGGCTTAGCCAAGTTGTGGCGCCCACCTTCTAGCCACTTTGGAGTACTTAATTCAATAAAAAGGCAAGCAACTTTGTTTCACTTTTAACTTAAATAGAATTTTTGGGGCAAACTCTGATTTCGTTTCCCGTCCCGCCTCGTCTCGTCTCGTCTCATCAAACTTTTTCATTCTCGCGTGTGGAAATCCCCGCATTAAAACGAATGCATTTGAGAGCCCAAATCATTGAATTTAAATGAGCCTCGCCCCAGAACAAAAGTTGTTTGTTACCAAGGGATATTGAATTGCGAGCGCTGATACTCTACAAATTCGTCGACACTCTGCAGAATTAGCAAGGGAAATTGGCATTTTGTATTTTGGCAGTTGAACATTTGGGCAACAACTTTTTGAGTGTGGTCATGTCAGATTGGTAAATCTCTGCTTTTCCATCCTGTCACTTTTCCATCATCGACCGCATCCAGTTGTCAGTCAATCGGAATGACGCCAAACTAATTTAAAGACTTACCGGACAACAACAACAACCAAAAAAAAGAACGCCTCGAGAAGTACTTATTTTGCCACTCGTTTTTGGCCAGGTTGTTTTTTTTGTTGTTATTTGTGCAATACCTCCTGCGGAAGGACATTTGGCAATATGTTACACCAGCCGAGAGGAACACTCAATCTGCTAAGTCGAGCGACAGGCGACAGGATCCTGGAACGCCTGCAGCTGTAATCACAGGACCAGCTTCCTTTCAAGTGAGCGACAGGCACGCAATCCACTGTACTCCATATATAAATATATATATAATATATATATGTATACACTGTATTTACTTCACTTTGGGAATGGTCAAAGTGAGATTTTGCGGTCTGCCAGAACTCAGGTCTTTGCACTCAAAAAAAAAGTATTGACACCAAATTTTTGGGAAATATCACCAAAAATCTCTCAAAGGATTCCCAAGTTTTATGTTGCTTTTTTGGCATCAAAAAAAAGTATAATAATTTAATGCGCTTTCTCCTTTCTTCTTTTTCTTTTTTATATGACAAATTTTCCTCTAAAATTTCATTTGTCTGTTGTCTTTTCGCCTCATTTATATTTTTTCCGACCAGAGACTGAAAATATCAACTGACACGAATTAAAGCCAACGTTTTTCTAGCGTTTCTCTCTTCTCAATTTCAGTTGACAAGAACAGAGAATGGCTTTGTTAAATGAAAGAAAAATCTTTTAGGCCAAAAAACAAGTAAGCCGCTTTGCACAAATGAAGGCCAGTGTCGGAGTATCGCTTTAGTTTTTGCTGAGTGTGCCCTTTTTATTTGCGGCAATCAAATTTTATCACCCAACTGACGCTTATAAATTCCGGACTGTCAGAGTCGCATATTTATGCGGGGCTGCTGAGGACTGAGGACTGCGTGTCGTATGCGTAATATGCTCAACACGTCTGCTGCCCGGATGGATCCACATCCTTCTGCTCCACAGTTCTCAGTTCGTCCTTTTTTATTTTTATTTTTATTTTTTTTTTCTGTGTTGCTGGCCTTAAAGGCGTATTGCCCACTCTCCGCGCACAAATCAAATTCAATCAGTTGCCAAAAGAAAAACATCTTGGACGTCGAAGGGAGCTGGCATCGAATTCAATTTGGGTTCGTCATTTGCCGCCGACGCTGCTTATTTGCCGTCAGTTTTGCATTTGCCAATTGAATTACGCATTTGGTGGAATGGTGGCGGCACAGCACACACACATGTGAATGTGGAAAGCCCCCGATGGATTGTGTGTGTGTGCTGTGTGTTGGCATCCCGGAATCATCTCGATTTAGTTGTCAAGACTTTTCGCGGCTGCCAAGGCGGCTGTGAATCAATCAAAGCCGCTCAGCCGAAAAGCCTTAAAGTTCACTCCAGAAAGCAATTGGAATTGGGTGTTTGTTTTAAGTTTAACGCGCGGGAATGCAAGTATTTCTGGCTCAAGGCGTTACACACAGCAGACGTCAATCAAAAGTAAACTTCAATTTCAGAGGTTTAACTCAACAAACGCCGCTCGGCGGGAGACAATTGTCTCAATGCAGCACGAGGTCCGGGAAAATTCGATCGGACACTGGTTCAAATCGTGGAGGGGTTCTTGCCCAGACAAATTGAATTCGTGTCTTGCAATTTGCCATTGTTGCCTTGTCTTTAAAGAAAGATTTCCCTATTAATGAGCAAATTTAATTACTATCCTGCTAGAGAAGCTTTAATCTACCGAATGTTGTTGTTTAATTAAACCTATTTTATATGATTTTTATCGAGTATATTTTCTCACAAGAAAAAATCTTAAATTGAATCTATATTTAGGTAAACATTTTATTTCCAAAAATATATCTCGTTGACTTATTAAATCGAATAATTACTTTCTGAAATATGCATTAATCGATCAATCATTGGGATATCAATTAAACGAATTTCATATACTTTTACTATTACAAATATGAACAACATCTTCTCACTTTTTCTGGCAGTGTTCTATCAACATTTTCAGATGTAGCATTTCCATAAAATATCTTACAAGTTTACTTTATTCCTCATGAATATGCAATGGCGTTGGTTTGAGTATCGTGCCATCGATACTTACCACTCGGAATCGCGGGGGAATGTGTGGGGATGAATTGCTTTATGATAGGGAATTCCCTAATAGGTTTACACCAAAAGGGGGGACAGGGACACCAAAGTAGATAAGGTGAAAGGAAAAAGGAGCGGCGAGGGAATCATTTAATTGCACTTCCAGCAAATTGCATTGTGTATGAGCAGCAAAAAGTGTTCAATTGTGTGGGAGAGCCTGTCGCGTTTTAATATGCAAATTGTGTAATTAAAATGCAACGTTTGCGGGTGAAAGGACTTTCTAATGAAAGCGATTTATTACCAAAGCGGACAAGACATTATCCTTGCGAATGGGTGCGGCTATTCCAGAGTTTGTATTTCAAGGATTCACGTTTCTCTGTGTGTCCTTTTTTGCAGCTGCCTCTGTGGCCGTGTCCTCGTGGACTTTGGTGGCCATATCCTGCGAGCGTTACTACGCCATTTGCCATCCACTCCGCTCTAGGTCCTGGCAGACGATCAGCCACGCCTACAAGATCATCGGGTTCATTTGGCTGGGCGGCATCCTCTGCATGACTCCCATTGCGGTGTTCAGTCAATTGATACCCACCAGTCGACCAGGTGAGTGGTGCACTCACTCCTCCTTTTGCTATTTCCCCCTCAAAACAAAAATCGCAACAGGTTATTGCAAGTGCCGGGAAACCTGGCCAGACCAGGGATACGAGCTGTTCTACAACATCCTGCTCGACTTCCTGCTGCTCGTCCTGCCGCTGCTCGTTCTCTGTGTGGCCTACATCCTGATTACAAGGACCCTCTACGTGGGCATGGCCAAGGACAGCGGGCGGATCCTGCAGCAGGCAGTGCCACTTTCCGCCGGAACAACTGGCGGCGGCGGCGGCGGCGGAGGAGGAGCCACAAATCCGGGAACCAGCAGCAGCAGCAATTGCATCTTGGTCCTCACCGAAACGGCTGTCTATAATGGTAGGTTTTTTTTAAGCCGAACAAAAAATGTGGTGTACTTGGGTTTTTAAAAAAATGACAACATTTAAAATGTATGCCTTTTCAGCCAAGAAAAATCTAAAAATTACGAGAGCATCAAAATTATTTTTTTTAAATGCAAAAATTATCTTTCAGGTTCAATCAAGCTTAATAGCTAATTTAATATGCATTCGTTGTAACAAAATAAATTATTGATTACGAGTCAATGCTTGATTTTTAAACGTTACATGAAATAAAAACTTAAGAGGACGATTATTTTCAAACTGAAAGTTTCCCGTACTTATATTATATTAAAATATTTAATAAATTAAAAAATGTGTACATACATACTTTTGTAACAATTTAAATTGGTTTATTATTGTTTTATATTTCAAATGAAAAATAAAAAGTAATCAGAAAATATATAGGTAAATATAGTAAGTATGCAATTAGTAGGCAGAATTTTATTACCAACTTTTTACCCCAGAAAACTCTGTTAAGCAAACTGCTGATAATTAATTTGACAATACTTTAAAGTGGTTTCTATAGCTCTCTAATTGATGCTTGATTTTGTTGTTTACCAGAGAACAGCAACAACAACAACGGCAATGCAGAGGGATCTGCTGGCGGCGGCGGCGGAGGAGCAACAACAACAACAACAACACCAACAACAACAGCCAACAACACGGCAACGACAACTTTGACAACGAGATCGGCGAATCCAACTGTGATCACCACAACAACTGTTACTCTGGCCAAGAACTCCTCGCCGAGCATTCGAGTTCACGATGCAGCACTTCGCAGGTGGGATGCAATGTGATCCAATGGGAATCCCGAAGAACGAAACCCAATTTGGTTTTCTTTTCCCCTCTTTAAAGATCCAATGAGGCCAAAACATTGGAGAGCAAGAAGAGAGTGGTGAAGATGCTGTTTGTCCTCGTGCTGGAGTTCTTCATCTGCTGGACACCACTGTACGTGATCAATACGATGACCATGCTCATTGGCCCAGTGGTCTATGAGTACGTGGACTACACTGCAATAAGTTTCCTGCAGCTGCTGGCCTACTCCTCCAGTTGCTGCAATCCAATCACCTACTGCTTCATGAACGCCAGCTTTCGACGGGCATTCGTGGACACCTTCAAGGGATTGCCGTTTCGGCGAGGAGCGAATGCCGCGGCAGCCGGACTCTCCGCCAGTCAGGCGGGTGTGGGAACCTATCCGAATGCCACCAACATCAGCTTGAATCCCGGCCTGGCCATGGGAATGGGCACTTGGCGGAGCAGATCCCGTCACGAGCTCCTCAATTCGGTGGTGCACACAAATAATAGCAATGTTGCTGTCGACAGTCCGCAGCTTTAAGCTGTGGATTCAATAAAATGGATTCGATTTATCCATGGATCGGTGTAAATATGTATGATAACAAAAAGAAAAAAAAAAAAAGAAAAACAATGTGTATTTGAATGTATTTTTTTTTTGTGTAAGGCCAGAGTTAATTAGTATTTTTTTTACCTACTTGTGATTTTGATCGTACTCGTAAAATAACTTGGTGTTTCAATTGAACTTCCTAAGGTTGCCGCAAATAAACAGAAAGTAAAACTTATGCCATCCCTTCGAGTGCCTCTGTAGTTGGAGCCCTTATTTAAGTAAGTAAGTATCTAGAAATTAAGTGGAACTCGTTAAAGGGCTTTGGCTTTTCGGTTCTGGCCAGCTGAATGCGGCGAGGAGTGCTCGTTCGTTCGCAATTTATGGGACCCCGGAGAGCGTTTTAATTGCACCACCAAAAGGCGACAGTTGAGTTGATTTCAGTTGAGTTGAGTTGAGTTGAGTTGGGCAGAAGCCGCTTAAGTCCTGGCCATGGGTCGTCCTCTCATTATGTTGCTGTGAATGTGCTGTCCTACATGAGCTGCTCCTCCTCTCGGTTCGTCGCCTTCTCTAGAACACCCACACACACACACACACACGCACACACACACACACACACAGAGCAACCGAGGCGACAATTAAGGCTTAAAGCCACCGCATCCTGGCCAAAACGAGGGCCATCGTGATTATTTTAAAGTGGAAGTGCAAAGGGCGAGACCATCTTCTTTTTTCGACCCTTTTATGGTGTTTATTTGCGAGGAAGAGACTGTTCATAAATTTTAAATTTATTTGGTTGTTCCTATATGTAAATAAATTATAATAATCGCTATAAGTTGAGGTTTAAAGCATGATTACGTATTCTGTTTACTTGACAAAAATTTAATGAACTCTTTCTGCTCTTTCTTTTTTATAATATTGTAACTTTTTTTCTTTTGTATCAACATTAATAGTTTTATTAATAAATCCAAGGAACAAGCGTTCTTTGCATTAAACATTTTATAACGTATTTAATTTATTTTTATTATTAACTTTATTATGGTATTGGGCTTTTTTTGTTAAGGTTCCATTCAGCATTCATTTTTCATATTAAATAATTAATTTTGCTTTCATGTTTATCAATACTATCAACTTAATTTCCTTTTATAAAAACAAACAAAAGAAGGTTGCACGTTTTTTTATACATGATTTGATTTTAATATTCTATAATACTCTACACTCCTATGATGCATTTAATTAAAACGCGTTATTTACCATTTATTATGTATAAATATATATATACTTTTTTTGCTTTATTTTTAAAGTAGATTTTTTCTTACTCTATACATATTTATACGCCCCCTTTAATGCTGCATTAATTGTGGCTGCGATAGGGAGTTGACAGCTTAATTATTATCGCATTATGCGGAAGCGTGCGGAAAAGAAATTCCATGCGATTTTTCACGACCAAGAGGAAATTGGCTAAAAACGTGGCCGAAGAGTAATGAAGCGGAGCGAAGAGCTGCAATTTGTTTTATTCATGCACATAACTTTGTCTTTGACTTTGCCAAGGCAAATGTGCACTGACATCCAATCGGCGAAACTGCCGTCGTATGCAGAAAAGTCGCCAAGAAGACAACCCGACCCACCATCTTCCCCACTATCCACCAACCACCAACCCACCAACCCACCATCCAACATCCACTGTTCGTCCCTCCATTCTGCTCGTGAAATCCGAATGGCCCGAAAGATCCGGAAGATGTATGGCCCTAAACGAGCTGTTGTCAGCCGGTTCGTAGCAAATCTGCTTTGGGTTTTTGGGTAATTTAATTTATGGCGAATCCCTCAGCAGAAGGCTCTGCACCGCCTGCCCGCACAAAACATGCGAGACACATCCTTATAATCAGCCACAGCCCAAAAAAAAATCCAAAAGGTTCGCCTAAGGGATACCCAGGATCATAAAAATATAAACAAAATGTATGAGAAATGCTATTTGTTTTAATGAATTAGTATCTGTTAGTTATTTATATAGATCTTGTAAGAATTTATTTATATGTATCTTATATCTATAATATTTTATAGAGGGTCTTGATAATAAAAGATTGTAGGGCGAATAAGTTACTTATATGTAAATAACATGTATATTTATTTAACCAAATTGGTTTTGTACTCTTCTGTTAGCCAGCTTAAAACACTTTCCATTTCCCAGGATATCCTTACTGACCAGATACATATGACATCGTTACCGGACCGCGTCTAGTTTGGCTTTATTTAATTTATTTTATAGCCATGCTCAACTCGTAGTTGTGCGGCGACTTTGACATGAACCAATCTCGTCTCGTGACGCCCCCGACAAGAGGAACTTCTCTGGTGAAGCGGGGGAATTCAAGGGGGGGGTTTGGGGGGCGGTAAGGAGCTCCAATGATGATGATGATGGGTTGCCGTCCTATTTTATTCATGACTTCTTATGTTAAGGCGGCGGCAACTTTCACGTTCCAAGGATACGTGAGTTCGGGTTGGTGGTGTCTTCGCTGTCAAACTGCAACTGGCAGCCTCAAACAGTTTTGACAGAGGATTACTCAAGGCGGCAACTCCTAGGTGAGTAGCTGCTCTTGACTATCTAAAAAAAGGAGAAAAGGGAGGATAAAACAAGAAGGAAAGCTTAACTCGAGTGAATAGACTATCAGGTACCTGCTACTCTGAGTTGCTGTTTCAATGAATGTGGAAGACACCTTTATTATTACAATCTGTATAGCCAATACAAAATGCTTTAGCTGTACTATCAAAACTGTGGGTGCCACAGAATTTTATGATTTGGTGTAGTGGGCGTGGCATTATTTTGAAACAAACTTGTGCTGCATAAATATAACTAGAATGTGTTCGTCCTATCCCATAATTCAAACTCATTTAGTTTTCAAGATCGAGAGCGCGTAAAATGGGCGGGGCATATGCTTAAAAACACCTTCCGCTGCGTTTATTTACCACTTGAGCCTGCGTTATTATTCACAATGATATGCAGAAGTGCTTTCTTCTAGCTGTAACATACTTATGGGCAAATACAGTATACCCTTTTAGCCTTCGAGGTGACTGGTGTAAAAACTGGGTCATAACATGTCACTTTAAGCGGCGTCGCCAAGTTAAGACGACTGCCTCTCAATTATAGCGAACGTTAAACGATAAATTCAGTTTTCATCAGCGTCGGGGGAGTTGATCCAATCAAACTTGCAGATGTTCGGGTAGGTCGACTTCCCAGTCTCCTGTTTCCCTTCTCCGGCGAGACTGCAATCAAACACGTATAAATATTCACGACACGCTCTTGACCTGGCCGGATGGCCAGTGGAATGCCGTTGGCCATCGGCATTCCTCTGCCAACGAACACAAACAACACACAGTATGGATGGCTGTCCGTGAAAGTGGCTCAGTGGCTCAGTGGCTCAGTGGTTTGTTTTGACGATCCGTGACGGGAGGGAAGGGTAATCGGGAGAGTCGGAGAATCGTGAGACAGGTTGTGGAAGGACCACCCACGGCGATGAGGGCGATGATGATGACACGGGCGGGTCAAGGGGTCAAGTGGTGCAAACAATCAAAACCGCACGCAAATTTCACTTTCGATGACGACGGACGTGAGCTTTGTGGCCCCCGGGCGTCCAGGATTCTCGGCTATAAAAGCCTGATTAAAGCCCCGCCAGGCGGCAAGGACAATGGGTGAGGATGGGGATTGGGTAACAGCGTGTCCTGAACAGGTTTCGTACTTCCCCCGTGGAGTGATGGGCCTCCTGCATCGTTTGCCGTCCGACAAGTGATGGCCATTACTCTCGCATAAAAAAATGGGAGACAAGCGAGTGTTGTGTGAATTAACTTCCCATCCCCCCCAAGGATAATTGGGCGTGGGCTATTCCCTATTATCCTCTTCACTGGCCAGGCCAAAATCATCATAACTATTCGTAATTCCAGTTCAACTTATCCGGTTCGAGGAAATATAATAATAACGAGCATAATCGAATTGTTGCCTTTCGATGAACTTTTGCCAAATGATTGAATATTCATGAAAGCGCTCTCCATTTCTTTGGGGGAAAGGAAGGGGGGGGGGGAATGGTTTCCTCAACAAATCTTTCAGCAGTAGTCGCAAATCGATGAATTTATTATAAGAACTTGAAGGAGACTTTCCTTGTTGATTGCTTAGCCAACAGCAAAGCGCCCTCTTCATATTTCACTTCTCGTTTTAGGGGCATTTTTCATCAGCGGTTCCCGTGGCTTGTGGTCCCCATCAAACATCTCGGCTGGGTTGTTAATTTATCCAGCTTGTAAGAGGAGATAGATAGAGGGGATAGATTGTGGGTAGGGGTGGTGCTATAGGGATCCGGTTTGTCGGCTCATTGTTCCGGATATGGTGGCCATCCCATCATGACACTGCTGACGTGTTTTGTGCCTCGCCAAAGTCGGAGTTTCCCCGGCACATCACGCACATCTCATATCCCCCTTCCCGTGCCCTCGTGCTCACTTCCCTCTTGGCCATCTTGGAATTCCCTGGCAAGAAGGAGCCGCACACAGCTGACAGCCGTTGGCAAAAGGCGACAGATACAACGCAGCCACGCAGACTGGAGAATTCAACTGGCGATGAGAGACAGGCGGGGGATTATGTAAAGCCAAAGCCTAAATAATGCGGCCTAATGTCTTTGGCCTGACACCATGAAGGACAATTCTCGCTCCCCCGTTGCTCCCCCCATTTTGCCACCGTTCTAATAATAAATAGAATAAACGCAATAAAATAAAATGGAATAACTTTAGTGTCGCCGGCGGCGGAATCAGATGCCATTTGATTGAATTCAATTGGTGTCCAGATGCCAGATGCCACATCCGGCTAATTTTCGGACACTTTGTTTGAAGTCCTGCGGCCACGTCATCATTGTTTATTAATTGTTGTAACCTTTTTTCAAGATGAGTACTTTGACCTTAGTGCGAGGGGTTATCGAACCAACGCAGAGCCACCGCTGATGAACCCCAATTGTTGTCTAGGCTAAAAAAATAAAAAAACAAAAAAAAAAAAAATAGAAAAAAATAACCAAGTGGCCAGTGGTTGCTCCTCGGGGGCATCGACGTCCATGCAATTTGATTCGCATTTGTTGATTGTGCACTTGAAGCCGCAGTCCCCAACTTCGATAATGAGGGGCTCTTCCACTCGAAAAGTCACGACGGGGAATGGATTTTTAATTCGCAGTCGCAGACAGAAGG